CCACTTCATGGCTACCATACATGAGCATTATTATTTCCTAAATCCGATTTCTCTGTTCCGTCTTTCTAGTAGATACTTTTAATCTTTATCGTGTGTGCCTTCTACTTAGAAAACCCTCCTCTTGACTCACCCACCCTTAGCTGGTGCATTCTTGTGGTCTCCAGGAAGTCATATCCTATCCCACTCCACACCCGTAATTTGGCTTGAGGGTCTTTTCTCTGTCCTCTCCTATTGTTGATCATCTTGTGTTATAATTGACTGGAATCCCCTCAAGAAGCCTGGGTATCTTGTTCTCTGTTGTATCGTTAACACCTAGCACAAGGCTGGCACATAGGAAAAAAATTAATATATATGTGTTAAATACAAATATACAAATAATATTAGAAAAAATGAAGACCTAGACAGGACCGTGAACTTCCTGAGGGCTGCTATTTTCTCTGGATCACTTTCAATGCCTAGCAAGGAATCTTGTAATACTTGGGAATCAATAAATATTTTTCAAATAATAATTTTTCTGTATCTCTTGAGCATTGTTTTTAAATTTCCAAAAGGATTCCTACTCTTTTGTCAACTTGCTTCTTCTCTAGATGTCAAAATAGTCTCACTCTTCAAAGTTCAACTGAAAAGTACTGTTTTCCATGGAGTTTGTTTTACCAATCCCTTTGTTCTGGCTATCTATTGCTGTGTAACAAGCCACCCCAAAACCTAGTGGCCTAAAACAACACTCTATCACTATGCCTCACAGTTCTGAGAATGGTCTGACATATGGCTGCAATCACCTGAGAGCTTGAGCGGGCTGAATGTCCAAGCTGGCACACTCCCACGGCAGGTACTTGGTATGGGCTGGTGGTGAGTCAAGAGCTCAGTTGAGGCTCTTGTCTAGAACAACTGCAAGTGGCCTGTCCCTGTGGTTTGGGTTTTTCATTACATGGCAGCCTAGAGATATTTACTCTTCCCACATGATCACCGGCTTCCAAAAGGCAAGAAGCAGAAGCTTCCAGGCCAGTTAAGGACCATGCCTAGAAACAGCTCAAGTGTCAGTTCTACTGCACTTTATTGATCAAGGCTATCACAGGCCCTCTTGGATTCAAGGAAATGGAGAAATGAACTCCATCTTTTGATGAAGGAGTGTCAAGGTCGTAACTACAGAAGAGCTTGAAGGATGGGAGATATTTTTATCACCATCTCTGAAAAATAGAGTCTGCCCTATTGCATCCCTCGGAGCAAAATTTATCCTTTTCTGGTTTGTTCTCTAAGTACTTATTCCTTATGTTTTTTTATCATTGATTTCCACCTCTGGGTCCAGAGTTATTTTGCTAGGAAATGTCTCTCAATCTATAGGCTTGCAAAATGTTGGGTAAATGGAGTAAAATTGTATGACTCAAGCATACACAATTGACCCTGAACAACTGGGTTTGAACTGTGAAGGCTCCACTTATGTGCTGATTTTTTTCAATAAATATAGTACAGTCATATAAATGTATTTTTCTCTTCTTTATGATTTTCTTTTCTCTAGCCTACTTTATATGTAAGAATACAGTGTATAATACATAACAAACAAAATATGTATTACCATGTTACCAGTGAGGCTTCTGGTTAACAGGCTGCTAGCTACTAGTAGGCTATTAGCAGTTTTCAAGGAGTCAAAAGTTATAGGTGGATTTTCGACTGTGCAGGGGTCAAACACCCCTAACCCCCATGTTGTTCAAGAGTCAACTATAATTATTATTAAAGTGTATGTAAATGTTTTTTTGAAAGATTTTTATTTACTTGAGAGAGAGAAAGAGAGAGAGAGAGCAGAGGGACAAGCAGACTCCCTGCTGAGCATGGAGCCCAGGACCCTGAGATCATGACCTGAGCCAAAGTCAGTCACTTAACCAACTGAGCCACCTAGGTGCCCCAGTATATGTAAATGTTTTATGATTAAATTCATTATATATATATTTTTAACCAACCCATATTAGAAATTTAAATAATGCTGGGGATCTGTAAAATGTTTACGTAAAAAATGGGCCTTTATACTCAAAAGTGGTTTGCTAAGCACTGATTGGTTTATCTATTTGTCTCTTCTTAACTGAATTAGGTGTTATTGAGCCCAAGGACTTAGCTGGATAGCCTTTAGATCCCTAAAGTTTAGTAGATTAAATCATACATAATAAATGCTCAATAAATTTTGACTTGGTTTCATTACAAATTTTATTTAAAAATGTAATATCTACCATTCATTTATACATTTGACAAATACTAATCAGGTACTTATTATGTTCCAAACACAATGGTAGAGGCTAGGGATCAAATGGTGAGCAAACCATTTTGCAGCCCAGTGGGGTAGACATATTGACCATACAATCACCCTAAAGATGTGAACTTTCAACTGGGATAAGCTCTTTGTATTAGTTTCTGCAGGCTGCCATAACATAGTACCAAAAACCAATTGGCTTAAGGAACAGATTTTTAGTATCTTATAGTCTTGGTGCCTAGAAGTCCAAGATCAAAGTGTCAGCATATTGGTTCCTCCTGAGGGCTGTTCTAGGCCTCTCTCCTGGGCTTGCAGTTGCCCAGCTTCTCCCCATGTCTCTTCATATCATCTTCCCTCTCTGTATGTGTCCAAATTCCCCTTTTTAGAAGGACACCAGTTGGGTTAGGACTCATCCTAATGACCTCATTTTAACTTCTTAATTATCTCTGTAAAGACCCTCTCTTCAAATAGGTCATATCCTAAGGTACCAGGGTTAGGACTGCACCATATGAGCTTGGGGGTGCGCAATTCAACCCATCACATTTTTCAAAGGAAAAGCCTGTAGCACTGTGAAAACTCAAGGAACTCAAGGAAGGCTTCCTCGAGGAAGAGATCCAAATAGCCACTTAATATATGAAAAAGAGTTTAACTTTTTAGCAATCGGTCATATTAAAACCATACACCTTCCTATTTTGCCCATTCACCACAAGATTTAAAAGTTTGAGAACACCAAGTGCTGGCAAAGATAGACTCTCAGAAGCTGCTGGTAAGAAAACACATTGATAGAAAATTTCGAAACAGTTTGACATAATAAAGGTGAAGATACATAAACCTTTGACCAGGGATTAAGCTTCCATTATAAAATTCTAGAGAGAAATTATGCAGGTGTGCATCAGGATACAGGTACAAAAATATTCTTTGCAGCATTGCTATTTATTTATTTATTTGTTTGTTTATTTACTTATTTATTTATGAGAGAGAGAGAGAGTGAGTGAGCAGGGGAAGGGGCAGAGGGAGAGGGAGACGGAGAACCTTACACAGGCTCCAAGCTCAGCATGGAGCCCAACTCAGGGATTGCTCTCACGACCCTGAGATCATGACCTAAGCCAAAATCAAGAGTTGGACATTTAACTGACTGAGCCACCCTTTGTTGTTGTTGTTGTTGTTGTTGTTTTAATTTAAAATCAATTAATTAACATATAGTGTATTATCAGTTTCAGAGGTAGAGGTCAGTGATTCATTAGTTGCCTATAACACCCAGTGCTCATTACATCGAGTGCCCTCTTTAATGCCCATCACCCAGTTACCCCATCCCTCTACCCATCCCCCTCTCCCCTCCAGCAACCCTTGGTTTGTTTCCTAGAGTTAAGAGTCTCTTGGGGTTTGTTTCCCTCTCTGATTTCATCTTACTTTATTTTTCCCTCCCTTTCCCTCTGTTCATCTGTTTTGTTCCTTAAATTCCACATATGAGTGAAATCATATGATATTTGTCTTTCTCTGACTTATTTCTCTTAGCATAATACCCTCTAGTTCCATCCATGTCCTTTCAAATGGCAAGGTTTCATCCTTTCTGATGGTTGAGTAATATTCCATTGTGTGTGTATATATATATATATATATATGTATATATATATATATATACCATATCTTCTTTATCCATTCATCTGTCGATGGACATCTGGGCTCTTTCCATAGTTTGGCTATTGTGGACATTGCTGCTATAAACATCGGGGTGCAGGTACCCCTTCGAATCACTATGTTTTATCCTTTGGGTAAATATCTAGTAATGCAGTTGCTCGGTCATAGGGTAGCTCCTTTTTGAGGAACCTCCATACTGTTTTCCAGGGTGGCTGCACCAGCTTGCATTCCCACCAACAGTGTAGGAGGGTTCCCCTTTCTCCGCATCCTTGCCAACATCTGACGTTTCCTGAGTGGTTAATTTTAGCTATTCTGGCTGGTGTGAGGTGGTATCTCATCCCTGCAGCATTGTTAATAATATTCCCAGGCCATCATTTCATAGTATATACATTTATCAAATCATTGTGTTGTATACATTAAATTTATACAATGTTATATGTCAATTATATCTCAATAAAAGTGTGAAAAATATTCTCAGACCAGAGACAACTCAAATGTCCTTCAACAATAGAACAGCTAATTAACCTGTGAGATTGTATGCAATGGAAAATCATAGAGTAGTGAAAGTGGATGGCCTGGAGTTTATGTACAGTCATATAGATGCATCTCAGAAGCATTTTGTTGAGTTAAAGAAGAGAAGATACACAAACGTGATTCTAATTATGTGATTCAAAAGCAAGGATGGGTTATTACAAAACTCAGAATAACATTTACTCCTAGGTGAAAGGTTGGGGATCATTAACTGGGGAGCAGGTGGTGGGAGCTATGGAGGGTTGGCAGTGATATTCTGTTTTTGACCAGAATGGTAGTTATATGGATGTTTGCCTTCTAAGTATTATGTAAACTGTACATATTTTGTGATCTTTCTGTATGAAAGTTATATCTCACTATAAAAAAGTTAAAAAAGAAAAACACCAAAGCTACCTCTGAAATCATACCATTTAATCTTGAGTTTATCCCATTATTTTTGCAAATGATGTTTTCTGCTGGTGATTGAATAAATCAACTGGACAGCCAAGACTAATACAAGTACAATTACACGTGATGTTGCATTTTGCCAGTAAAATTTCCCTATATTTGTGGAATCAGATAAAAATATGAAATAAATTGCTTTGATTCCTAGGTTGGATCATTAAATGCATGCTTCCTTGCAAAGAGGAATTTCCAAGTTGATGTATATGAAGCTAGGGAAGGTAAGACAAGACTGAAACTCGTGAGATGTGAAAATTCTGATTCTCTGACATCTTTCTCTTTAGATTTTAAAAAGAAGTGTTTTAGAAAGAGGAACTTATTTTTTTTTTTTTTTGCAACCGCAACTATCTAAATTTAATATAATACAAAATCACGACTATTAGTGTTTTCTGTAAGGGAGCTAACAAGGGTCTTTTAATTTGGTTCTGATTGCACCAGTTGTTTAGGTGTTATATGCTTAGCCTGTCCTGAGGTATAATACAGAGTCTACTTTCAATGTCTTAGATATCCGAGTGGCTAAATTTGCACGTGGAAGAAGCATTAACTTGGCCCTTTCTTATAGAGGACGACAAGCCTTGAACGCCATTGGCCTGGAAGATCAGGTACCTTGTTAATGCATTTTCCTTGTAAAAGATAATACTTGCCATTTTCCAACAACGTTGCCAAACTTCTCACTCTCTAGCATTTCGCTTGGAAATGTGAACAGAAGTAACATATTTTGCTGAGAGTACTTTTGCTGATAATGTGTCTTTGGGATGATACAAATTTCCTTAGATGTGTGTGTGTAGGAAAACACTCTGCACGGGGCTTCAGGAGTCCTGGGGTTTCCTCCTCATGCATTGCTTGCTCTCTTTTGTGATCATGAGAAAAATCACTTATAACCTCTTTGACACTGAACCATTTTCCTTAATTGTAATACGTGATTTAGACCAGATACAATTTAAGTCAATTCCAAAATCTAAAGGTTAAAAAAAAATCAAAACCTAAGATTTGCAGGAACATACTTTTCATTGTTTCCATCATACTGTGCTTCCCATCATCCTTTGCATTAATTTTTAATTTTTTGAAAATATTTGAAAAATCGCATTTTAAAACCGATGTCTAACTTACTTGCATGATGCCACGTTATGGTAATTGAAATTGATATTTCTGGTTTTATTTCAGGTGGTATCCCAAGGCATCCCCATGAGAGCAAGAATGATTCACTCTCTTTCAGGGAAAAAGTCAGCAATTCCCTATGGGACCAAGTCACAGGTCAGTTTACCCTGAAGATAGTGTTTGCTTGCAGTTGAGTCTAATGTCTGGAATGTGACTCTTGCTCATTGGCCCTTCCTTTCCTCTGTAGACCTATCTTTGACATTGCCTGTATCAGCCTACCACTCAGAAACATATACTAGTTAACAAGTTAATTGACAGGAGGCCGTTAAAATAGGGCCCAGTTTCTAATAACCATTCAATAGGAATTAGTTACGTTGTCATCACTATTAGGCTCTTTTTTGCCTGTATACATCGCTCATGGTGGCCTGGGACACTCTTTCTCTCCTATCTCCTTTTAATTACATAAAGAAGATTACCATGTATTTATTGTCGAGCATAAAATGCAAGAACAACCCTAGAGGGTTTTCCCCAAACTGACTCTTTTGCCCCAAATTTAATTATAATGGAATTTATAGAATGAACCAGAAATTTTTTCAGTGCTGTATAACTTCTACAACAACAGAGGCCAGATGGTGATGTAGTTTACAAAAGAAAATCCATTATCCTGCTTTGTGTTCTTCTTATCTTTACATAGTAACACACAGAGTTGGGGAAAGTATGTATTTTTATCTAATATTTATACCTTCTAAGTTTGTTTCTTTGAGAGAGAATGAATGTACCAAACATCTATCAACTAGAGAAAAACCCAACTTGCTTCATCCAACAAGGCCTCATTTTATTAAGGGCAGAACCCAAGTGAGGTTTATATTCTTTGTCTCTGAGCTCCCACAGAGCTCCCATTGCAGGCGGATCAGCAATTCTCAGATTCCACTGGGATCTTGTCAAAATGCAGAGTCTGATTCTGTAGGTCCAGGATGGAGGCTGAGATTACGCATCCTAAATACACCCGGTTGGTGTCTGTGCTGCTGGTCCATGGACCACGTGTTGGGCAGCAAGAGATAAAGCACAGGTGCTCATGGGAACAAGTTCCGTGTGATGCTTGAAGCACCTCACACCCTGTTAGGATGCTACTATCAGAAAACAGAAAGGGAAACAGAAAATAGTTAGTGTTGGGAAAGATAACGGAGAAACTCAACACCTGCGCATTGTTGGTAGGAATATAAAATGGTGCGGCCGCTATGGAAAACAGTCTAGTGGTTCCTCCAAAAATGAAAAACAGAATTTCCATATGACCCAGCAGTTCTCCTTCTGGGTATATATCCAACAGAACTGAAAGCAGGGACTTGAAGAAATATTTGAACCCTCGTGATCATAGCGGCATTATTCACAACAGTCAAAAAGCAAAAGTGACCCAATGTCCATCAATGGATGGATGGATAAACAAGATGTGGTGTACACGTATGTAAGATAATAGAAAATAAAATATTGGTTTCTGCCTCTGGTTCCTGGCACAGAACTCCTAAAACTCTTGTAATTTCCTAAATGATTAAAGGACTAGGAGATCTTTTGTTCTAATATTTGGTCTTTGACTGTGGTTCCTAACACAGAGCTCCTAAATCCTTTGGAATTTCCTGGGTGATACGAGTATCTTTTGTTATAATCAGGTAACTCTTGGTGGACTTCTGGATGGGGGCTGGTCACCAGAAAGACCAAGACATAATTAGAAGCTTGGAATTTTCCCCAGAGTGGGGAGAGGGGCTGGGAGTGGAGTTAATGATCCATCATGTCCGTGTGATGGAGTCTTCATAAAAATCCCAAAAGTATGGGGTTCAGAGAGCTTCCAGGATCGTGCACACACAGAGGTGCTGGTAGAAGAGTAGCATACCCATAGAGGGTGAACACATATCTTACCCTACACATCTTTCCATCTAGATGTTCATCTGCACCCTTGACCATATCCTTTTATAATAAACTGATAAACAGTAAATCAACTGTTTTCCTGAGTTCTGTGAGCTGTTCTACCAAGTTCACTGAACCTGAAGAGGGCCTCATGGGAACTTGTGATTTATAGCCAACTAGGTAGAAGCCCAGGTACAAGCTACATTGCCATTGGCCTTCGATGTGCGTGTGTGGGGGGGTGCAGTCTCATGGGACTGAGCCCTTACCTTTGGGATCTGAGGCTATCTCCAGGTAGATGGTGTCAGAATAGCTAAATTGTGGTACAGCCAGCTTGTGTCACTGAGAAATTGCTTGGTGGAGGACCCCCCACATCTGGTGTCAAGTGTCATGCATGTGGTAGTAAGTGAGAGTAAAGAAGACACTCTCCAGAGGAGAGGGGAGGTTTTTCTATACAACATGCTTTGGAAAACTATTAAGCCTTAAAAAAAAGGGAAATCCTGACACCTGCTACAACATGGTTGAAACTGGAGGACTTTATACTAAGTGAAATAAGCCAATCACAGAAGGACAGATGCCATAGTACCTTTATGTGAATATCTAGAGTAGATAAATGCATAAAAAAAAGAAATCAGAATGGTGGTTGCCAGGGCCTGCAGGGAGGGAGAAGTGGGGAGCAATTGTTTAATGGGTAGAGAGTTTCAGATGTGTAAGATGAAGCGTTCTGTGGATGGATGGTTCAGCTGGTCGCGCAGCCATGTGTACGTAATGAATGCCACTGAACGGTACACTTAAAAAGAGTTGAGATGGTAAATGTTGTATCATGTGTGTTTTACTACAATTAAAGTTTGCTTAAAAAGTGGTTGAAAAGTAAAACATTCCAAAAACTAAGCGCCTATGGGAATGTGGGGTGGGGGTTGGCGGGGAAGGATCAAAATTTTCCATTTAGTGACATTCTCAAATAATAGCCCATTGATTTTGGTGTTATAAAAACATAGGTACAGAGTCTTAATGCATTAGCCAGGCAGGAGAAGGAAGCGGAAGGAAGTCTACTGACCATCCATAGGCAGATAAGCATTTTTGGATAATTAATATGTCTTGTTTCATCGGCCCCAAACTGAGCGTGGTGCTGTAGGAAAGAAACAGATTTACACACGCAGGGCCAGTGTAAGCTGTACATATTAACTGTATCCTTTCCGTAAACAACTGTCTGCCTGTGCACCACACCCCGTGCTTGCGCTACTTACTGAGGACCAGAGAGGAGCTTGCAACCTCGTGAGGACAGATGGTAGTCAGGTTTTTATGGAAAGAACTCTTCTGAGTGATGCTCAGCTGTGTGGTTCAGAGAAGAGGGAGGTTTAGTTTTCAGAGACCTCACAGAGAAAGTGAGGTTTGAGACAGACATTTTGTTTAAATATTAAATCTGCGCCAAAATAGCGCTTTCCCAATTAAACGAGGGTCCATCTATGGAGGGGAGTTGGGTGAGACCAGAATTCTAAAAAAAAGTAAACTTTTAAGTGCCAAGTGTGTATTGGATAAGAAAACTCATAACGTACTTTCACTATAACACAGTCTTACAGAGATCAGCAACCTTGGGCTCTTTGGATCCAACCGCCTTGCTTTACTGATGAAGAAATAGGCTGCATGGGTACACGAGGTCCACATCAGGGGTGACGCAAGGCGGGTGTCCTCATGCACAGTGGCCAGCACCCCACGGTGTAGAAGGTGCTCCCAGGAGCGCTGAGGGGCTTCATTAGTTGCACTCTTGCTTTTGTTAAATTGAAAGGGACCATAGTAATTGTCCCACCTTTGTCTTGGATTCACAGGGAATTAGCCAAGTAGACCAATTCTGACATCATCCCCCCTCTCACCTCCCCAGAGACTGAACCAATAAAGTGTGAGTAGACTGAGGAGGAAGACATGGTTCGGAATATCAGGAAAAGTTAGATGAGCAGAGTGACTTGGACTTGAGCCTGAAACTGGCTTCCTTACCCCCAGCACCAGGGGAGGCGGAAGGGGGCAGAGCCCTCTCCACTGACGGCCAAGAGGGTGAAGGTGTTGGTGGGAGTTCCCATTTGGGGCCTTCAGTACTTGAGAAGAGGCAGGAAATGATCACTTGCCCACGGATCCTGCCATTCTCAGTTCTTACGAACTCAGTTAATGCTAATTTGTAGCCACCTCTCTTTCTTTGGTTTGCATTGTTACGTTTATAACGCGGCCGGACACGGAGCTCCCTTTAAGAACAACATAAAATTGTTCTGAATCGCTCAATTCCACAGCCTGTGGAAGTGCAAAGCCCTCTCCGTGACCCCAGGATTTCGGCAAATCCTCAGGCAGCCCATCTTCTATTGGCCTCCCCCCTTCTCCAAGCCTCCCTCCTCCACCTGTTTTCTCTGCCCTTTCTCCCGGGCCAGGGTCAGACTCTTCAGTCTTGCTGGTTCCTGCCATCTCCCTCCCAAATTGCCCTGGGAACTGTCAAAATATTCCCTGATACACAGAGCAGGTCAGAGCTCCCCAATTCCTTTTAACGATGCAGAAAAATATATTTTTTAAATGTTATTTAATTCCAGCGTAGTTAATGTGCAGCGTTATATTAGTTTCAGGTGTACAATACAGTGATTCAGCAATGCCCTGTATTACTAGGTGCTCATCACAAGAAGTGTACCCTTGATCCCCTTCACCTATGTCACCCATCCCCGCACCCACCCTAGCTCCCCAATCCTCGCCCCTAATCTCCTATGCCCCAAGTGGAGAAATAGCACCCCTTTCCTAGAAAACATCCCCGTTTGCAGGCTTTTAGGATATAGAGTGGAAACTTGTTTTTCTAATATACTTGACTACATCAAAAACTAATACTGTACTGCATGGTGACTAACATAACATTAAAAAAAAAGTCTGTGCTGCAACTACTGTTTTACATATCCAACTTCCTTTAGGTTTTATTAATGATGTTTTTGGTTACCAGGGCCATTTTATACTTCCTCACTTATTTGTTCTTTTTTTTTTTAAATTACTGTTTGATTTTATTAAGGACCTTTGTGAAGGTTCACTTGAAACAATTTAGTCTGTCCAGTCCAATTGAGTCACGAAGTGGCAAAAGCAGCCAGTTTGTGTTGGGTCAGTTACTCTACTACATGGCTGCGAAGAATACACAGAACTGTACAAAATGCAATATGATGAGTAAGGACGGTTGAATAATGATGCATAAAATAGATTAAATTGTAGTCATTTGAGCTGTTATTTGAGATGTATGGCTGTCAGCTGGAAACCAGCGTTCTTTTTGTAGCTGTTTTTGTTTTGATAAATTAAATAAATTTGATAAAGCGATCCAGATAGGAAATCTGGAGCTGGAATATGAGAATTATTTCTTTGTAGCCTTCATCAGAGATGAGGGGTTTTTCCCCCCAGTTTTATTGAGAAACAATTGACATACATCACTGTATAAGTTCAAGGAGAACAGCATGATGGTTTGATTTATATGTATCGTGAAGACTTGTCTGTTCTCATTCACATTTTTTCTTCAGAAGATCATCCTTTTAGAATAGGCATTGGAGAAGTGAGGCTTGATGCGGGAGGCTCTAACTTTTGCTCATGACACAAGGCTGCCTCTGGACCCCGGGGAGAATTGACAGGGACCCTCTCCACAGGACCGGTGTGCGTATCGGTTCCCAGATGATGCAGGTGTCAACCAAGCCTCGCAACTGAGATGGAGAGAATATTTTCCCCAAGTCAATGAACCTTCCTAGTTAAAATGTTTCCTAACGTAGTCTGAATAACAAGTGTGGTTTCTGTTGAAACGAGGTGATTCATGACACAGAAGACTGGAAAACAGAACAAAGAGGCAGAGAATGAAGAAGTCCTGTTCATTTTAATATATAACAAAGACACAGGAAGCCCCTCCTCAGTCATTGTCTTTGTAGCATGACCCAGTTATTTTTACACCAACTATACATTTAGCTGTTAATATTAAATGTTTACTTTTGGGTAAGGTGAAGATTTATAAATTAGCATATTTGCATTAAATGATGTGACGCTTCTAAATTTGGGAAACACATGCTTTAAATTTTTAAAGATTAGACTCACCCTGAATTGCAAGTCTGCATTATGACTTTTGTGGGCTCTGGGTGGGCACTTTTGTCTTTGTGGGTCCCTCTCTCTCTGAAACAATAAATATTAAAAATTACATTTTATGAATGCATTGGTATAAAGATTAATCCAGGCTGGATTCATTCTCATATATTCATTATATTTTTTGCTTCTGACTTTAGTATCAACTAAAATTAAAACATTTTCATGGACCCCTAAAAGTATGTGGGCCCTAGGCTTTGTGCCCTCTGTGCCTCAGGGAACAGTCGGCCCTTGCTGAACTGTCCTATAAAGTCGGAGAAAAAGAACATGTGTCCCAGGGAGGGCTGATCCTACTTCTACCAATACTTTGGGCCCCCCTCCCCACTCCTTTCATGTTGAAATGAATGCCTTCAAAGTAGTCTCTTTAGGAAATAGTATGTTTATTCTAGTGATGCGGTCATTACTGAAGTTTTTCTAACAGCTCGATTTGGAGACCTAAGATGAAAATGTGAGATTTACGAGATGTGGTTAAAACAAAACTATCTTAGTGAAAATAACACTTTTTTTTTGCTATAAAACGAGGATTTGGTTTTTGTGGTATCAAACCTTAAAAAGCCTGAGTTTAAACTTGAACATTGTATGTGTTTGGTTAAAGTGTTTATTTTTAAAAAAAGACTACTTGGCTAAATGGCTATAAAATTAAGCTTGCAACCTTCTGCTAGATATTTCCTATTGCTGAGTGAATAATGTGAGACATATCTGTCCATTCTCCAGAAGCAAATAGTATCTACTATATTTTTCTTGCAGTATATTCTTTCTCTAAGCAGAGAAAATCTAAACAAGGACCTATTGACTGGTAAGTCCAATGCTTATTCCGCAATTGTCATTGCAGTAAAGTGCATGAACCTAACTAACCTTGTCACATGATTTACTGGGATTTGCTTACGATTCCTTTTCATGGGTTATTCACGGGTTATTAGGGCAGGGTATGTACAATACACAGTAGTAGTGATATATCCTGTTATTGCTGATCAAAAAAAAAATCATTTGTTCAACACATTCGATTCCTCTTGTCTTCTCAGCACTGGAATGAATGAGTGCTCACTCCCCAAAAAACTCATGGACTAGAGGAACAGCAGATACCCTCGAAGGACGGGCAAAGTGGCACAATTAGCCCCGCACTACAGAAAGATGAAGAGCAGTATTTGGAGGCTGAAGAGGGCTGTGGTCTTTAGAGTATTGCAATAATCCCTGGGTGCATCAACTGAGCCCTGGACTAAAAGCTAGAGCACAGGGGGCAGAGGGGAGGGCGAAGGCTCATGATATTTGTGGGAGACCAAGTAGATAGAGCATGTAGGAGGTTGAAAAAGAGGAAGTTGTGAAATATGCCCTAAAGACTTCAGTGTGTTACAGACCCACCCATTAATGGAAAAGCCACTGGATTGCAAATTAAATTTTTAGCTTGGATAATCAGTCCTATCACCTGCCAGGTAGCCCTTGATTGTAACAGTTTTTTCTCCTTGTCAGCATTTGTGCTAATCAGGTCCATTCCCCACAGAGCATGACACTTGAGTAATTCTACTATCTTTTAAGTCAATTCCTCTATGCAATCCAGCAGCCTCTGAGTTTTGGAGAGCAGAGATTCTATGTGGTTTATCTGTGTTTCTCCACAGCCCCCTACCCAGCGTGAGTTTTCAGTGTGTCTGTTGAATTGAATTGAACTGGCAGGAGTCGTCTGCAAAGCTCACTCTTGCTGATTCACCAGGGACTTAAGAAATAGGGCTTAGTATTCTTCTTAATCCTACTTCCTTACTTATATTTGCAAGACTATCCTTTGGGTGGGTAGGTGTTGGGGGCAGGGATAGGTTGCTAGATATAGTCATATTGATCTCAAGAAGCCCCCAAACAGCTTTTTAAAAAGTAGTCTATATCAGACCTAAGACAATCTGTTTAGAGCATCTTCTGAATTTGTTAAGATAAAAATGAGAGCAAACATTCACTGAGGTACCAGGAAGTATGTTAAGTGCTCCATATGCATTGATTTATATAACCCTCCCAACAGCTCTGTGAGGTGGGAACTCTTCCATCAGTTTTACAGGTGGTGAAGGAGGCTTCCAGAACCCCCACCCCCACCCCCCAGCAGCCCACACTGTTAATAAGTGGTAGAGTCCTGGGCTGGAGCTTGAGCCCTTATTCCAAAGTCCATGCCTTTAACCCCCAGAGTCAGTGCCTCCAATATTACACACGAAACATCTGCTAACAAGTAGGAGCTACAACTTGGGAAGAGCTGATCTTGGTGGACAGATGGAAGCTCCCAGACCTGGTTTTCCTTAGGAATGTGCTGCACGGTGTGTAATTTCATAAATGCCATAAATACGTGAATGAAGTGAACACGGACTCTCTTCGCTCCTAAACATTGTTTGGCATTTGAATTCTTCCACACAGTTGTCAGTCCTTTAACAAGTGTGTGAGCCGCCAGCTTCCCGGGCAAACACTGGCTCCTGACCGAACAGCACCCCCCCCACCAAGACTCAGGAATGAAATCATTGCCCTGTACTCCATGTAGGATTGTTTCTTGGTTCACTGTTCAGGGGGCGGGGGGATGTTAATAATTGTTAAGCAAAGCAAGCAGGAAAAGGACATGTGGTCAAGTATGTGTGATAAATCCTGCACAAAACAAGTTTTATAAGTTTCCTTACAGTATTCCTCAGGGCCTTTATTCTGATGGTCGGCATGGTGGATTTTCTAGACCAGCGCCATCCGAGACATGACCACAAATGGCAGCCACATGCGTAACTTAAACTTTTATATTAACCACATTTAAAAGCCAAAAAAGAAACAGGTGAATTTAAGTTTAACAATATATGTTAACCTAATAGATCCAAAATATTATTTCAATGTGTAATCAACAGAAGATAGTTATTCATGAGACTTTTTTTTTTTTTTTTTTGTACTGAGCTGCCAAAACCTAATGTGTACAACACATCTCCATTCAGTCTAGCCACAGGGGGCTGAGGACCAGGACCGCACAGCTCAGGGAGGTCAGAGTGTTAGCATTTTGCTAATGGCTTTGACCACAAAATGGTTTTGATTAGGAAGCATATCCAGGACTAGTGTTCCGTGGAAAATTCTTTGGGATGTATTAGTATACATTTAAATAAATTTTTTTTTTATTTTTTTAAGATTTTATTTATTTATTTGACAGAGAGAGAGAGGCAGAGAGAGAGCACGAGCAGGGGGAGTGGCAGGCAGAGGGAGAAGTCAGGCTCCCTGATGAGCAGAGAGCCCAATGAGGGGCTCGATCCCAGGATTCTGGGATCAGGACCTGAGCCAAAGGCAGATGCTTAAGCGACTGAGTCACCCAGGTGCCCCAAATAAAAAATAAATTTAATTTAATTTAATTTCTTAAAAGGTTGATTCCACAAACACATTTTGTGTTTATAAAAGATATCCATAGTGGTTCCGATAAACTCTGAAACTTCTGATTTCTCCGAAGTTATTTTCCAAAAGAGTACTTAAACACAGATAAATAGATCTGATTTGTAGCTTTAACAACAATAAATAGCCTGTAATTATATACCTCTTACCCATGAGAATTAATAGGGACAAAAATAATATTTTACTCTTATGACAAGGATATGATGAATTCACTACTTTCTATAGATTGCTAGCAGGCAAAATAAAAAAAGCACCAAATAATTCGATTCTATTTATTTAGAGGTTTTAAATCATCTTGCTCATTTTTTTTTCTCTAAGTGTTCCAGTGTTTGATTACAAAAAGAATTAGTATCAGAAATCTTTATTTGCGACAACGTGACTCAGAAGTCTAGAGACTTACTAAAAAGAGATAAAGAATCAGGCATAGCCTGAGAAAGGAGTTTGGCTGACTATTTCTAATCACAATTAAAGTCTTAAGTTAGAGGCAACTTTTAAAATATGTGCTGCCTGTTTCTTTTCCAGGGTGAAACTGTCATAGCAATGTAAAAATTTGCATGATGGAATTGGTTGGATTTTTATTTATTTATTTATTTTTTTGAGGATGAGGATAGTTGATTTGTATTCATCATTTTTACTACCAAATTATCCTGGAACATTTGCCAAAGAGCTGTCAAATGACCATTTTAAGTAATTCATTTTTACATTCTTAAGAATAAACATCTCTAACCCACTGTTCTCAGAAAACAATGACTATTTCAATTTGATTAAGTGAAATGAGAACTGGAATTGTATTTCTATTTGGTTTTCTTCTTTGTCTCCTCAGCTGTTGAGAAATACCCCAATGTGAAGGTGCACTTTGGCCACAGGCTGTTGAAATGTAATCCTGAGGAAGGAGTGATCACAGTGCTTGGGTAATCACCGTCAGCCTGTTGACTGGAGAGGTGAAGGGTTGACACAGAGAACTGGATCTGTAAACTTTGTTCTCTGGCTTATTTGAAAGAGTTAAATGATTACTAAAAGGGATTCAAAGGATTTCAGATCAAAAACCAGCCTTGGCTGCCTTCTGAACACCAATACCAGTGATTCTTCTTGATTCTGAACCTGGCTCAGCATCCGACCACTGGTGGCCATCCTCTTCAAACGCTCTCTGCCCTTGAAACAGATGACCCTCCACTGCTCTGTGTTTCCTCTCCTCTTTATGGAAATGATTTGTCTGCCTCTCCTGGGCTGCCTCTGTTTCCTCTGAAGTTCCTAGCCCCATGTCCCATTCTTGCGATATGTCATGGATTCCCAGTCCGTTCAGCGACCACTTTTAAATTCACTTCGCTAAAATGAACCTCTCTAGCCCGTGCCTCTGTCTTCAGTCTCTTCACTCTCAGTCCTTATTTCAATCCTAATCCATGCTATTTTCCTGTTCGACACCTTCACAGGTACCTCTTGCCATGATCTCAAACACATCTTAAATCACCATCTATTTCTCTCCAAGCACTCCTGACTTCCCTAGTGCTATCACCCAAATCATTAGAGTCATTCTTGTTGTGCCCTCTTCCCCGTTTCCTCCCATTAAATCTATGACCCCTGCCCAGTCTTTCTTACTCCCTGATGGCTTCTGAGCCTACATCTTTCTCCAGAGCCCCGTGGTCTCTGGGCTCTCACGCCTGCACACGCAGGCTGCTGCACTCACCTTGTCCTCTCCATGTCCCCTCCCTCCTGGACTCTGCCTCCGGTTCAATACATCCAGTGCCAGATGAGTTTTTCTAAATTACCACACTTCCTACATCAACCCCCGCTCAGTGGAAAAAGTTATTTTCTCTCTTTTGCCAGAAGAATGTATTTAAACCTTTTGTCTTAACATTCAAAATTCTCTTCTTCTCCTCCCTCTTTTCCCTCCCCACATTGTCTTCTTTCCCTGAGCTTATCTCCCGATACCCTGCACTCAAGCTAAACGCACTGCTCTTGGCAAGTCCTGGGCACATCCATGCTGTGGTCCATCCCTTCCCTCACTCTGCCTTCTTCTCGAGACTCCCTCCCTTTGTGCAGGGAGCTTTAGTCACACTTCCGTGGCCTGGTATGTCCTTATTAATGAGTACAGTGGTGCTATTCTCATTCTCGTGAGCAACACGGTCCTCAGGACGAGGGCTGTCATCTTCATTCTATAGCTATTAACTCCAAGCTCAAAAGTCAGATATGTACAAGTGAGGAGGGGCCCCCCTGAGTTGCTTTTTTATACCCAAACAGATGAACATCATCATTTTTACCACTAGAATGTTTTTTTTTTAATGGTCCACTTTATTTTTCAGATCTGACAAAGTTCCCACAGATGTCACTTACGACCTCATTGCAGGATGTGATGGAGCATACTCCACTGTCAGAAGTCACCTCATGAAGAAACCCCGCTTTGATTACAGTCAGCAGTACATTCCTCATGGGTACATGGAGCTCACCATCCCACCCAAGAATGGGGATGTAAGTCCTTTCCCTTCTTTGGCTCCTCCCCACAGTCCTCCCACCCCTCGGACTCGGGAAGACATCTATTCTAGTGCACTTGTTCTTGGCAGCATGTCTGGATGAATTCTCAGGTCTGTCATAGTCCCTCGTAAGGCATAATAAGTCGGGTGTGCAAATATCCCTTTAATAATATCACTTCTCTCCCTTGCCTTCGAGATATGCTTTCTTGAGTGGGCAGGAAAGAAGAAGCATCACAGCTACCCTACTGGAAATGCACAGGGAATTTGTCTGATGTAATCATGTCATTTTCCTATTTTTTCTTGGGAGGAAAAAAATGGGTCAGGAATCTTTCTGTATACTGACAATCAGAGTTCTTATACTCATGACTATATCAAATAATAGTTATTAAATAAAGTGAATAGAAGTTGTTGCAAAGAGATTTCCATTGCATTTTTCTCATTTCTTAGTTCCCAAGTTCAACCCTATGTGGCTTGAGGCAAGTACATCCTAGGTATGTTTTATATCGTCATAAGTAAATAGATATAGGAACTGACTAAGGGAAATTAAAATACTAACAAAAGCAACAAGGATCTTGGCATATAGGTAAAGATAAGTAAATAGTGTTCATTACAATGTGATTTGCATAGAAAACATCTGTTTTTGAGGTACAGATGCAATCTATCCTATTTGAAATTCAGATGTCTATAAAATAGCTAGTCCATTTGTGATAGTTACACACCAGGTATATAACCAAACTGTATCAGCCAGTCAAATCTGTATTTTAACATTAAATCATTGTCTATTTTTTCCTCCTAGTCACAAAAGTATTTAGTAATTCTGAAGTGCTAGTCTTATGGTTTTCAGGTGAGCCTTGTTCTCATGGCCCAGGATCTGGTAATCCTGGGTTACAGGATATTAGGATCCTGTTGAAGAATTACCCCAGATGAGTGGAGTCATGCCTCCTAACGTAGATTTAAGATCGCCATTTATTTTTTCTAGGTGTTCATATTTAATAGTGATGATTAGTGGTTTACAAAAAGTCTCCCCTCTTAAAGAAAGAACACTGTTTGACATAGCATTGGGACTCAGACCTGGAAGTATTTTAACATGGCCCCAAAACAATCCTAGGAAAACTCCCTTCCTTCCTTCTTCCCTCCCTCCTTCCCTTCCTTCCCTCCTTCCTTCCTTCCTTCCTTCCCTTCCTTCCTTCCTTCCTTCCTTCCTTCCTTCCTTCCTTCCTTCCTTCCTTCCTACCTTCCTACCTTCCTTCCTTCCTTCCTTCCTTCCTTCCTTCCTTCCTTCCTTCCTTCCTTCCTTCCTTCCCTCCACCTATCTCGTCTCTCTGTCCTGTCCCCCCTTTCTTTAACATAATAGACTCTCCATTCCATCTCCGAGGGTTGGAGTGGGGAAGAAAGATTGGGTGAGGGACAGCATGGGTGAATATTGGGGAGGTGCTTAGAGAATTGGGTGGGAGGCTCATCTCGAAGCTGCTTTTGCATAGCAAGCACCTTTTTTGCTCACATTTCATGTTTGGAAAGACTTGTGGTGAGGACCCAGTGGGGATTACTGGAGCCTGCTCTTGGATAAAGATATCTATTGAGAGCATGACTTGATAATAAAGAAGCTGAAATTTTAAAGGATTATTTTCTAGAGTCGTGAAATATGTATGAACATCAGAATATTCTTGGTATCATAGTTGCTACATCAAAACAATATATAAACCACTAATGGTGAGGATTGGGCAGCGGGGAGGGGTATGTATTGTCTCCCAAACTTTTTCATCAGCTGTTTGAACCTTCACTAATGTAGTAAATGATAAATCAGTTTCAGAGCTTCGCTCTTATCTTTTGGAGTTCTAAAAGGTCATAGAAGTGGTCTAAAGATAGCAAAAGGAAAAGCAAGGACCATGTACCTCATCCCGGCTGGTCTCCTTACTCACAATTCCTAAACTCCTGACCTAAAACACTGCTCATTTCTGCCGCCTCTGCTTTGCTCAGCAAGTTCACCCCTCCCAGAAGCCACCTTCCTTTACTTCTTATCTAATCTATGGATCCCTTTGTAGTTTTAACCACTCTAGCCCCACACATTTCTTCCCTGCCCAGCTTTTATTTCCTATCCTTCAACTTCAGCATCTGCCTAGTCAACTGCATTGGAACCTCTTTGAGGGCAGAGAGTTACGCACTGACTCATTTCTGTGTCTGCGTGTTGAGCTTATTTTGAGGCTCTGAGATAAAAAGCCAGGAAGGAAGACACAAAGAACTCTAACAAGTGTAAAAATGCTGGCTAGGAGACTATGCTGCCCTTTCTGTGTTCTTCTTACCATGTAAGATACACACATGGCAGGTGCTTGCATACTTGAAATGGTTGGAAACTGATTACATGTTCCTATGTGTATCATACCCCCAGGAACCTCCAGGATTAGGGTCAGTTGGGTGTTTGGGTCATTTGATCTGCCCAAGCAATCAATACTCACTCAGGCTGCTATTGGTTTGTCGTGGGCTCACTAAAAAGAGAAGACTTCCTTCTATTATTTATGTTGTAGGAAGCAAATGATAAGAGGCTTGTTGGCAAAATTTTATTTTGCCCATGAAATTTAAACTTAGGACCTTTCTGTTCACACAAATAAGTCCCCAAGTAAGGTGAAAAATAAAGTATAAAAATATCACACACACACATATATGGACATATACATATATAGTTTATATGTTTATGTGTATAATGTATATGTATATACATGTATGTGTTTATGTGGGGGGGGTGTCTGCGTGTGGGCTTAGAAATGAAGAGAGAAGGTGAGAGAGAGAGAACATCTCAAAATCTTGAATTTCATCTGGTATCAAGAACCCACCTAAGTTATAGGAATTTCTAAAGACAGGACAGGAAGGGTTTTTAAGACAACTTCTACTTTAAATAAGAGAAGGTGTGCATATCACCATGTGTATGATACTATTTGAATTGCTACAGAAACAATCATAACATAAGCAGAGTCAGTTTTATAGATGTGCTGCATTAGTGCATTAATCCAACACAAATATAATTTTTTCCCCCTACAGTATGCCATGGAACCTAATTATCTGCATATTTGGCCTAGAAATACCTTTATGATGATTGCACTTCCTAACATGGTAATATAGAATTTATCAATGTAATTTTGCATCTATAAAGTTTTTCATTACTTACTTTTGTACTTTTTTTTAAAGATTTTATTTACTTATTTGACAGAGACACAGTGAGAGAGGAGCACAGGCAGGGGGAGTGGAGGGGGGAGAGGCAGGCTTCCCGCCGAGCGGGGAGCCTGATGAGGGGCTCGATCCCAGGACCCTGGGATCATGACCTGAGCCGAAGGCAGACGCTTAACCATCTGAGCCACCCAGGCGCCCCCTTACTTTTGTATTTTGTATGTATGCCTAATTGCTTTTACACTTAGCACGTGTATACTTTTAACATCATTGTTTAGTCTATTTAGTGATTATATCATTGAAACTTCGGGATTCCTGAGGAAAAACCTGAAGGAATTCCAATTATTTATCGTGGAAAGGAGATTGAACACATATAAGTTACAAGTGGCAGTTTGTGTGTGGTGCCTGTCCTCTCCCCCAAGATGGTGTAGGAGGAAATGGCCTTCCAATAAAGCCAAAGAGATTCGGTTCTACACAAGGCAGTCCTTCCAGTGTGGAGGTGTCTGGGACATTGGAATATAGATAGTCAAAAAGGGGTGTGGCTGTTCTTTCATTAGACCCTAGAGACTTTTTTTGCTCTCTAGATCTAACTACATATTTGTCTAGTTGGTCTTCTTCTGTCCCTTGGCAGCAATGCTGGGGTCCAGTGCCTCGTAACATTATCTGGAGAGGAAGAAGAGACAGGAAAAGTGAGGAGAAATTCAATCCAACCAGCCGATTAGTTATATAAGGAGGGTAGTGTTTGCGATTAGTAATCTAAGGAGGGTAGTGGTTGCTTGGTGAAATGGCTGAGGTTTACCGTGTAGAAATTCTAGTAAGCGAGAAGGTGGGGAGCACCTGGGACTTGGGGGGCTTTCCTTTGGGAGCGAGGGGAGAAAGCCAGCTGTGTTTCCTGCTGGCCTAGACATTTCTGCCGGGTGTCCCTCGGCCACAGCAAGAACCTGAGACTACATTCTCTCACACTCTTCCTCTCCTTCTCGCAGAACAGATCTTTCACGTGTACTTTGTTCATGCCCTTTGACGAGTTTGAAAAACTTGTAACCAGCAGTGATGTGCTGGATTTCTTCCAGAAGTACTTTCCAGATTCCATCCCTCTAATTGGAGAGTAAGTTTCAAGATGTGCAAGTGTGCCTTTCTCTCCACTGCTTTGAGCTACTCAAAATCCAAATAAAGGTGCTGCAATAAAGGTTACTTCCGTTTGGATGAAATGTGACTGGTCCTGGACGGGAAACCTGCCTTAGAGCAAAGTCTAAAGGGGATGTTGTGTCATGAGTGGGAATTCTGAAAACCCCATGGCAGGCCCAGTTTCCCTGGGAAAGACAAGTCACCCACGTCCCCAGGCCTCTCTGCCTCCTGTGTGGGCTCTCAGGTCCTTGGAGGTTGGTGTGCTACAGAGTGGGGCTGTGCTTCCCTCTGCTGGTGGGCACAAAGGTCCAAGGCGCAGCAGATGCGAGTCGGGGTCCTCACTTTCTAGCTGGGTTCGCTTTCCTAGCTCACAGGGCCCTCCCGGCAACATGGCGATCCATAGCGGCACCTGCCCCAGAGTGTTGAGAGGACAGGACAAGTTCTTGCCTATAGATCATTCGGCACAGGGCCTGGCACATACAGAGCCCCCCAGCTGGGAGCTAGCTTGTTAGCTGTCTGGTTTATGACCCACGGCCCCTCTGCCTCCTGTCAATGCCCCCCCCCCAGGGTCTTGTCACTGGGTCTCACTAAGTACCTCTGCCCCCACTGTCCCTCCCTGGAATCCAGCTCACTCCCCACCTCCAGCAGGGTTTTCATGGAGGCAGCACAGTGCTGCAGAAAGTGAGACTTAAGGCTGCTTCTGCCCCTCACTCCCTGAGTCTCAGATCGCTCATCTTTACAATGGGCATCAGGACATCTACCTTTGGGGGGCAGTTGTGACGTGACATGCACCAACTATATAAAAGGGGTGGCCCACTGCCAGCCCACAGCAGCTTTCTTTAAAATGGTCGATTTCGATCCTTACCTGCTGACTCAGTGTGCACTGATCTCCCTTTCTCTGATGTTGAGAAATCTCTGCACGCCACAATTTACCCCTTATGTTTCGTGGTTATTTCTTGCCTCTCCAACCGGACTTAAAACTCTTGAGGGTATGTACTGTTTCTCTACTTACAACTGCCACAAATCCTCTGTAGATGCCTGATGCTCACTAGCTTCCAAATCTATGTAAAGTCACGTTCATTTTAGTTTTTGGTGTGTGTGGCTTTAATCAGATGCACCACGTCTCAATTTTTCCACTAAAACCTAAAACACAACAGAACAGTTGAAAATTGCGTGACCCACACGCCTGATAAGAAAATTTCATGACACGTAACACAGAGGCATTTCGAGTTCTTGAGATGCAGTCAAACTTGTCCTGGTTGGATGTGATTAACATTGTTGAGAACAAAACAGGCAATTAGAACAATGGAATTTCAGGAACTCGAAGAAACTTCAGTTTCTCCTTTTCCTGTTTTCTTTCTGGCATTTTGTGTGTTTCTCAATAAAATCCAATGGTAATGAAGTCAGTACATTTGAAAGAATTATGCAGGATTTAATACCCAACTTCAGGTGCTTATGTTCTGGTTGTTTCCCTTTGAAGGCAAACCCTGGTACAAGATTTTTTCCTGTTGCCGGCACAGCCCATGATATCTGTGAAGTGCTCTTCTTTTCACCTGAAGTCACACTGTGTGCTGATGGGGGACGCAGCTCACGCCATTGTGCCCTTTTTTGGGCAAGGAATGAATGCAGTAAGTCCTTTCTCCTAAAGTAAGTCAGTCTCAACCAAAAAATCGTAAATAACAATCATGCCTAAAACTATCCCCACATAACGTCTGAGAAAACAATCAATTCCACAATCCTACCAGCTGTTTAGATTGATCACCAGCTATAGTCAAGTCTTGGGTTGCTTGATCCAGTAATTTCACATAGGAAAAAGCAATAATGCAGAAGACGGTTTTCTGTGCAGTTAGAAAATATATTGATAGCTTGAAATTTGGGAACCTGTCAGCAATTCAAGCCTTAATTAAAAAAATTTTTTTTGAGATTATGCATAAATATATAAATGTTAGGCTCAAAAAAGAAAAAGAGCCCAAACTGTCTGTTGTTTTCTCCACTTTTTCTTTCCAAGGGAAAGGAAAATGCAGTTGACAGAGTTGAAGAAGACTACGAAATAGATTTGATGTTGAATACTACTGCTTTCATGGAAGTTTTATTGTTCTGGCTAGAAAAAAATATTTCTGAAAAGAAATAGTGCTCAAATATGAAACATTAATTTCAAGGAATCCTAAAATAGTTATCTAGACAGACAATTATTTTGTGTGTGTTTGATAACTAATAGCTTTATAATCACAGCCTTTTAATGTTTTGGTGATCGGGATCTATCCCAAGTGTAAATAGGCTATAAATCTAATCACTTATATTTTCCGCAAAGTAGTCTAAACACTTTGTTTTACAAACACCTAAGAACACACCAATTTTAGGATAGTGGATAAGGGCCCGGGCTCTGGCAGTATAAGGCCCGGTTCAAATCCTGGCTCCAAGATTTATTAGAATATGTTCTTGCTCAACTAACTTAAACTTACCTTTACTTCCTTGTCTGTAAAATGGGTTTTCAATAGTGCCTACACCGTAGAAGTTCTTGGGGGATAAATGAATGAATTAAGTAAAGAATTTAAAAGTGTTATTATCTCAGCCTATGTGGTATTTTGCATCTCTAACTTCCTGTAGCATTAATAGTCTATATTGCTGACAAGAATATTTATTGGCTTCAGATGTAATCTCTATAATTGATGCGAAAAATATTTTTTTAACGTTTACATTTTTTATATTGTCTCTAAAACTATAGTTTGAATTCCTAGAAAGCAGGAAACCTAGCTTTTGATTTTCTTCTTCCCCACTGTGTTTAGCGTCAAACCTTACCAAATAGTGTTAATTTTGTGGATTTCGTGACATTGGAAATTTGCTCTAATCTTTGGTTTAAAGGAACTAAATTAATATGAGAGTTCTAGCCTGTCATTAATTTCTCTAAATGTGAAGCTTAAAGACTGAATAGTTTAAATAAGATTCGAATACTCATGTTAGAGCAATATAATTGTTCTTGCTTCTTAAAGAAGCAGTGGAATCCATCAAAATTACAAGAGTAATTTAAAATTTTGATCAAATTCCAAATCATTATAATCAATATGCATTAGGCAAAGACAAACCATCAGGTATGCAGTTGAGGGTCATTTATGATCCTAATTTAATGCCATACATGACTAAGCAGCTGTGTGCTGGTTGAAGGCAAACATCCTACGAATCATACTCACCAATGGGAAGTCTGTTCAAAATTGCTCAGAAGCTTTCATTATTTCCAGTTTATTTTTCCCTATTTTTTCTTATTTCAGGGCTTTGAAGACTGCTTGGTATTTGATGAGTTAATGGATAAATTCAACAATGACCTTAGTAAGTAAAATTTGTCAAATGGACATGGACTAACCCTGCTGATTAATTGTGGACCTATTTCTGACCCTGGAGGAGGGCAAACCCATGATGCATTTTTCCTGTTCAGGATTATAGATTTTTCTATTAGCAGCCCATGCCACCAGTACCTACTCAGACAAGGAGCACTTAGAGAGGGAAACATAGTTTCTTTTTTTTTTTTTTAAGATTTTATTTATTTATTTGACAGAGAGAGAGCACAAGTAGACAGAGGGAGAGGGAGAAGCAGGCTCTCTGCTGAGCAGGGAGCCGGATGTGGGGCTCGATCCCAGGACCCCGGGATCATGACCTGAGCCGAAGGCAGCCGCTTAACCGACTGAGCCACCCAGGCACCCGAAACATAGTTTCTTTTAAGGTTTGTACCTGGAGGTCTGTGCAGTGATCCTCACAGATGTTCCCAGGACCAACGTTTGCTCAGAATACGCTCCTTGCTCTCCCTTTCCACCTGGGGAACCTGCACCTGCATCCCTCCCCCCCCCCCCAGAAACACTTGCAGGCGCTCCACTGCTTTCTTGCTTGTTGCCTTATCAACGTTGCAGTTGCTACTTCCATTTGCCTTTGGTTAAAACTGATTCCACCAGATATATTGATTTGACGGATCCTGGAGTTTAAGATATTTATATGTAATGTGGAAATTAAATTAAATTAAATTAAATGTACACCATAAGTTGCTAACAATAGCCCAAGACCTGGATAACTGTTACTGCTTCTTGGAATCCGTGGTCTCAAAGGCTACCTGTGAATTTAAACCTCGTTCAGGTAAGGGATAGATGTAGAGAACTGGCTGTAAGTCTACACCCAGATTCCAGTCCTGACTCGCCAACTTACCTGTAAGACCTTGAGCAAGTCGTTTCAGCTTTTTGAAGTCTTGGGTTTTCTTTTTTTTTCTTTTCCATCTATATAGTGGGGACAATAACACTAACTTCAGAGAGATGTGAAAATGAAGTAAAATTATTTGTGTAAAGCTCTTTCATTTATTAGTTTCAGAGGTAGAGTTTGGTGATTCATCAGTTGCATATAACACCCAGTGCTCATTACATCACATGCTCTCCTTAACGCCCATCACCCAGTTACCCCATCCCCCTACTGCCGCCCCTCCAGTAACCCTCAGATGTTTCCTATAGTTTAGAGTCTCTTAGGGTTTGTCTCCCTTTCTGATTTCATCTTACTTTTTTTCCCTCCCTTCCCCTATGATCCTCTATTTTGTTTCTTAAATTCCACATAAAAGTGAAATCATACAATAATTGTCTTTCTCTGATTAACTTATTTCACTTAACATAATACTTTCTAGTGTCCATCGACAGATGAATGGATAAAGAAGATGTGGTATATATATACACACACACATATATATACACACACATATATATACATATATATATGTATATACAGTGGAATATTACTCAGCCATCAAAAAACGAAATCTTACCATTTACAACAATGTGGATGGAACTAGAGTGTATTATGCTAAGTAAAGCTTTTTTAAAAAAAAGTCTGGCACAAAGTGAGTTCACAGTAAATGTTTGTGATGGTGTTTTAGGAAGTCCTTGGACACTGGTGTCTGGATCAGAAGAGACTAGAGGGTCCAGGGTAAAGTTCTTCTGGTTTTCTGCCTTCCTTTTCCAGTCATCTTGCTCAGATGCTCCGGATCGAGAGGCATTTTGTTTCCTCCCGTCTCTGCCCTGGTGGGATTGATCTGCATGTGATAGGCATGACGGAGGGGATGGAGGGTTCATATGTCAGAACATACTGTCAGCACTGGTCTTGGTTACTATGGAACAAAGATAAAACAACACTGATTATGACAATGAGACTCAACTAGCATTACTGAACATTTCATATGTGTTGGGTATCTTGCTATATTTTTTAATCCATTTTCTCATTTAGTCTCCATGGAAAACATGGGGCATATGTACTATTCTTGTCCCTGTTTTACAACTTGTCCCTATTTTACAAGCTTAGAGACTTAGAGTAACTCACCCAAAGTCATATAGCTACAAGTGTTGGATCTGGGACTGACAGCCAGGTTCTCTGACTTTTGAAATGGCATCCTTAATAACTAGTGTGGATTGGCCTTGTGAGAGTTATACTGGTTAGTCATTCATTTATCAGACATTTATTCAGTATTTACCATTTACGTGGTTAAGATTTCGGACATGAATAAAACATGAGGCCTACCTCTGGGAGATCACAGAATAATGATGGAACTGATGGTTAGCTGATAAGGTGTCTTCGGTACAGTGAAATAAATGTGGATGGTGTGGCAAGAAAGGACATAAAGGAGAGTAGAAGATTCTAAGCGGGACTGCATGGGGAGGGGTCACTGACCATCATTTCTATGAGCTGCTCTCCATTTGTGAAATAAAGAAAATAATGAGGGGCGCCTGGGTGGCTCAGTCGGTTAAGCGTCTGCCTTTGGCTCAGGTAATGATTCCAGGTCCTGGGATCGAGCCCCGCATCGGGCTCCCTGCTCAGCGGGAAGCCTGCTTCTCCCTCTCCCACTCCCCCTGCTTGTATTCCCTCTCTCGCTGTGTCTCTCTCTGTCAAATAAATAAATAGAATCTTTAAAAAAATATATTTCAAAAAAAGAAAAAAAAAGAAAATAATGATTGACTAACCAACAAGTATATGTTATATTAACTTTATCATAAGTTTTATTTAATCACAATAGGAAATGCTTGTGTGTTATTGTTCAGTATTCATAGATTATTGGTCATTCAGCCTGGTTACCCAAAGTTTGAAAGGATTAGAACAGTGGTAGAGTATACACCATTTAATTTGACTGGTGTAGAGGACGGCACATTTTCATAGACTGTATTGGAAACAATGTATTATTCAACTTGGCTCCTAGGTATGTGTCTTCCTGAATATTCAAGATTGAGAATTCCAGATGACCACGCGATCTCAGACTTGTCCATGTACAATTACATAGAGGTGAGTGAGGGGGTTGGGCTCCATTCCATGAGATCATTCCTGATAGTCTAACAGATAGTCTTTTCTTTTTAAACAAAATTTTTAAAATTTTAATTCCAGTGTAATTAACATACAGTGTTATATTAGTTTCAGTATAGAATACAGTGATTCAACAATTCTATACATTGTTCAATGCTCATCATGGTAAATATACTCTTTAATCCCCATCACCTCTTTCCCTCATCCCCCCACCGACCTCTCCTCTGGTGACCACCTGTTTGTTCTCTGTAGTTAAGTCTGTTTTTTTGTTTGTCTCCTTTTTTCTTTGTTTGGTTTGTTGCTTAAATTCCACATATGAGTGACATCATACGATATTTGTCTTTCTCTGACTGACTTATGTCACTTAGCCTAATACACTCCAGGTCCATCCATGTTGTTGCAAATGGCAAGATTTCATTCTTTTTTTATGGCTGACTAAAATTTCATTTTATATATATACTATATATAAAATCACCTCTTCTTTATCCTTTCATCTATCAATGGATACACTTGGGCTGTTTCCATACTTTGGCTACTGTAAATAATTCTTCAATAAACATAGGAATGCATATATCTTTTAAAATTAGTGTTTTCATATTCTTGGGTAAACTCCTAGTAGTGGAATTATTGATTCATATGTAATTCAATTTTTAATTTTTTGACAAACCTCCATACTGTCTTCCACAGTGGCTGCACCAGTTTGCATTCCCACTAACAGTGCATGATGGTTCTTTTTTTTCCATATCCTCATCAACACTTGTTGTTTCTTATGTTTTTAATTTTAGCCATTCTGACAGGTGTGAGGTGATAACTCATTATGATTTTGATTTGTACTTCTCTGATGATGAGTGATGTTGAGCATCTTTTTGTGTGTCTGTTGGCCATCTGTATGTCTTCTTTAGAGAAGACATGTCTTCTGCCCGTTTTTAATTGGATTCTTTGGTGTTTTTTGATGTTGAGGTATGTATGTTCTTTATATTTTGGATACTAACCCTTTATCAAATATGTCATTTGCAAATATCTTCTATTTTGTAGGTTTTGTTGTCTTTTAGTTTTGTTGATTGTTTCCTTTGCTCCGTAGGAGCTTTTTATTTTGATGTAGTCTCAATAGTTTATTTTTGTTTTTATTTCCTTTGCCTCAGGAGATATATCTAGAAAAATGTTGCTAAGGCCAGTATCAGAGAAATTATTGCCTGTGATCTCTTCTAGGATTTTTATGGCTTCAGGTCTCATATTTAGATCTTTAATCCATTTTGAGTTTATTTTGTGTATGGTGTAAGAAAGTGGTCCACTTTCATTCTTTTGCATGTGGCCGTCTAGTGTTCCCAACACCATTTGTTGAAGAGACTATCTTTTTCCCATTGCATATTTTTGACTCCTTTGTCAAAGGTTAATTGACCACATAATTGTGGTTTTATTTCTGAGCTCTCTATTCTCTTCCATTGATCTATGTGTCTATTTTTGTGTCAGTATCATACTGTTTTGGTTACTATAGCTTTGAATTATATCTTGAAGTCTGGGATTGTGATACCTCCAGTTTTATTCTTCTTTTTCAAGATTTCTTTGGCTATTTGGGGTCTTTTGTGGTTCCTTACAAATTTTAAGATTATTTGTTCTAGTTCTGCTTAAAAGGCTGTTGGTATTTTGATAGGAATTGCATTAAATGTGTAGATTGCTTGCAGTAGTATGGACATTTTAACAATATTTGTTCTTCCAATCCATGAGCATGGAATGTCTTTCCTTTTGTTTGTCATCTTCAATTTTTTTCATTAATGCTTTGTAGTTTTCAGAGTATAGGTTTTTCACTTCCTTGGTTAAATTTATTCCTGGGTATTTTATTATTTTTGGTGCAATTGTAAATGGGATTGTCTTCTTACTTTCTCTTTTGCTACTTCATTATTAGTGTATAGAAATGCAATGGATGTCTGTATATTAATTTTGTATCCTGCAACCTTACTGAACTCATTTATCAGTTCTAGTAGTTTTTTGGTGGAGTCTTTAGGGTTTTCTATATATAGTATAATGTCATCTGCAAATAGTGAAAGTTTTACTTCTTCCTTACCAATTTGGATGATTTTATTTCTTTTTCTTCTCTGATTGCTATAACTGGATTTCTAGTGCTATGCTGAATAAAAGTGGTGAGAGTGGACATCTTTGTCTTGTCCCTGATCTTAGGGAGAAAGCTCTCAGTTTTTCACCAGACTATGATGTTAGCTGTGGGTTTTTCATATATGGCCCTTATTATGTTGAGGTATAGTCCCTCTAAACCTACTTTGTTGAGGGTTTTTATGATGAATGGATGCTGTACTTTGTCAAATGCCTTTTCTACATCTATTGAAATGATCATATGATTTTTATCTTTTCTCTTATTGATGTGATGTATCACATTGATTGATTTGTGAATATTGAACCACCCTTGCATCTCAGGGATAAATCCCACTTCGTCACAGTGAATGATTTTTTTTTAAGTTGTTGGATTTGGTTTGCTAGTATTATGTTGGGGATTTCGGCATCTACGTTAATCAGAAATATTGGCCTATAGTTATCTTTTCTGTGGTGTCTTTATCTGGTTTTGTACTAAGGTAATGCTGGCCTCATAGATTGAATTTGGAAGCATTCCTTCCTCTTCTATTTTTTGGAATAGTTTGAGAAGAATATGTATTAACTCCTTAAATATTTGGTAGAATTGACCTGTGAAGCCATCTAGTCCTGGACTTCTGTTTGTGGAGGGTTTTTTGATTTCTGATTCAATTTCTTTGCTGGTAATTGGTCTGTTCAAATTTTCTATTTCTTCCTGATTCAGTTTTGTGATGTTATATGTCTCCAGGCATATGACAAAATTTTTCATAATATTTTTTATAATCCTTTGTATTTCTGTGGTGTTATTATTTCTCCTCTTTCATTTCTGATTTGTTTATTTGGGTCTTCTCTCTCTCTTTGATGAGTTTGACTAAAGATTTATTAATTTTGTTGAACTTTTCATGGAACTAGCTCCTGGTTTCATTGATCTGTTCTATTTTTTAAAATTCTTTTTTCATTTATTTTTGCTCTAGCCTTTATTATTTCCTTCTTTCCACTGGTTTGGGGTTTTATTTGTTCTTCTTTTTCTAGTTCCTTTAGGTGTAAGGTTAGGTTGTTTGAGATTTTTCTTGCTTCTGGAGTAGGCCTGTATTGCTATAAATTTCCCTCTTAGAACAGCTTTGCTGAATTGCAAAGATTTTGGACCATTGTGTTTTCATTTTCATTTGTCTCTATGCATTGTCTAATTTACTCTTAGATTTCTTGGTTGACCCATTCCTTATTTAGTAGCATGTTATTTAACCTCCATGTACTTGTGTTCTTTCTAGACTTTTTCTTGTGGTTGATTTCTAGTTTTATAACATTGTGGTCAGAAAAGATGTATGGTATGACTTTGATCTTTTTTAATTTATTGAGACTTGTTTTATACCCTAATATGTGATCTATTCTGGAGAATGTTCCATATGTTTTAGGATGGAATGTTCTAATATATTGTTAGATCCATCTGGTCCAATGTGTCATTCAAAGCCACTGTTTCCTTGCTGATTTGTTTGATCTATCCACTGATGTGAGTTGGATGTTAAAGCCCCTACTATTATTGTATTACTATCAATTACTTCTTTTATGCTTATTAGCTTCTTTATGTATTTGGGTCCTCTCATGTTGGTGCATAAATATTTACAATTGTTCTATATTCTTGTTGGATTATTCCCTTTATGATTATATAATGTCTTCTTTGTCTCTTGTTACAGTCTTGTTTAAAGTCTATTTTGTCTGATAGAAGTATTGTTACTCTGGCTTTCTTTTCAGTTCCATTTGCATGACAAATGCCTTTCCATCCCTTTACTTTTAATTTGCATGTGTCTTTAGGTCTGAAATGAGTCTCTTGTAGGCAGTATATAGATGAGTCTTACTTCTTTTATCCATTCTGTCACCTTGTGTCTTTTAATTGGAGCATTTAGCCCATTTACATTCATGGTAATTACTGATAAGTAGTATTTATCGCCAGGTTGTTGTTTATTTTATGGTTGTTTTGTAGTTCTTCTCTGTTCCTTTCTTCTCTTGCCCCCTTCTCTTATGGTTTGCTGGCTCCTTAGTGGTATATTTGGATTCTTTTCTCTTTATTTTTGCATATCTATTGCTGGTTTTTCATTTGTGGTTTATATATAACAAAGAATGCTTATAGAATTCTATATTAAGTTGATGGTCACCTAAGTTTGAGCCCATTCTAAAAGCACTAATTTTTTACTCCTCTCCCTCTATCCCACATTTTAGGTATATGGGTATATTTACATCCTTTTATTTTGTGAATCTCTTGACTGATTTATATAGATATACTTATTTTTACTGCTTTTGTGCTTCCTACTTTTCTTACTCTTATGGTCTTTCCTTTCCACTCAGAGTCCCCTTTAACATTTCTTGTAGGGCTGGGTTAGTGTCATTAATTCCTTTAACTTTTGTTTATCTGGGGAACTTTTTATCTCTCCTTATATTTTGAATAATAGCCTTGCTGGATAGTGTAGTTTTGGCTGCAAGTTTTTTCTTTCAGCACTTTGAATATATCATGCCACTCCCTTCTGGCCGCTCAAAAATCAACTCATAGCCTTAGGGGGTTTTCCCTGTATGTAACTGTTTTCTTGCTGCTTTTAAGATACTCTATCCCACTACTTTTTGCCATTTTAATTACTATGTGTATTGGTGTGAACCTTCTTGGGTTGATTTTGTTGGGGGCTCTCTGTGCCTCTAGGATCTTGCTATCCATTTCCTTCCCCAGATTCAGGAAGTTTTCAGCTATTATTCAAATAAATTTTCTGCCCCCTTTTCTCTCTCTTGTCCTTCTGGGATCTCTATAATCTGAATATTCTTATGTTTGATAGTGTCACTGATTTCCCTTAGTCTACTTTCATTTATTATTATTTTTTTCTCTCTCCTGTTCAGCTTGATTGCTGTCCATTACTCTGTCCTCCAGGTCACTGATCCATTCTTCTGCAGCCTCTAGTCTACTATTTATTCCCTCTAGTGTATTTTTAATTTCAGTTACTGAGTTCTTCAAATTGATTTGTTCTTTTTTATGTTTTCTATCTCTTTGTTGAGTGTCTCACTGAGTTCCTCCACTCTTTTCTCAAGTCCAGTGAGTAACTCTATGGCCATTACTTTAAATTCTCTATCAGGCATATTACTCATCTCCATTTCACTTAGGTCTCTTGTTCCGATTTTGTCCTGTTCTTTCATTTGGGACTTATTCCTCTGTCTCATTTTGCCTAAGTCGCTGTATCTGTTTCTGTGTGTTAGGAAAGTGAGCTACATCTTCTGCTCTTGAAGGTAGTGGCCTTTTGAAGAAGAGGTCCTGTGGTGCCCTGCAGTGCAGTGTCTCCTGTTCACCAGAACCTGACGCTCCAGGGGAGTCTCTTATGTTAGTTGCCTGTGCCCTACTGTTGTGGCTGAGCCACATTTGCCTTCAGTCCAAGCATCTGCAGAAGCTGTCTTTGCCTGTTGTGGTTAGGGTTTTATCCCTGTGTAGTTAGTGGGCCAAGCTGGGACTACCTTGGAGTTGAGTTGAGTCAGACCAGGTGTTGGTCAGGGCTGTCATACCATCAAACTGCAGGGCACTCTCCCTGCGTTGTCCCCTGAGTTTTTGTTGGTGGGAAGAGCCTGCATTCAGATCAGATGTCTGCCCTCAGCCCAATGCTGGGGCTGCCATTGGACTGGTATGTGTGGTTATATTTCTTTCTCCCCAGGGCAGGAGTCACTTTGGAGTGGTGCTGACCCCTGTTGGGGCTGCTTGCCACCGCCAGGCTTGTGGCACTGCTTTGGGTGGACTTCTGCCAAGGGTGTGTTGGAAGTGGCAGATCTGCAGGAGAATGTGGGGGTAGGTGTGCTGTTAGCAAGGTAGGTGGAGATAGTTGGTGCTGCCGTGGTTCTGGCAAGTGTCCATGTGTTGAAGCTGGGGGTGGGGGAGGGAATGGCATGCACCAGCTCTTTTTTCTTGGAGAAGTCTCCCAAAGATACCTGTCCCTCAAGCACATGCTCTGAGATTAGTAAATAAATCTTCCTGCATTTCCTAGGCACTTTTCAAACTCTTGCTTCTATACTATATTGTGTATCAGTGATTCTGTTTGTTGTGCTGTCTCTTTAAGGGTGGGGATTCAGTTTCCTCTCACCCTCCAGGTCTCTCCCAGCGGAGCCCTCTGATTTTTGAAGTTCCAGGTGTTAAGCCCCACTGACTGTAAGAACTCTCCAAGTTAGGCCCCTCTGGTTTTCAAAGCCAAATGTTATGTGAATTTGTCCTCTCAGTGTGGGTGCCCTATGCCTAGGGTGCCTGGCGTGGGGCCTCCTGCTCTCCGTTCTCCATGCCAGCAGTGCCCTTACCTCCTACAGATAGTCCTGTGGGTCACTGTGGCTCCTGACTGTGTCTCTGTCCTTCCTACCTTCTTCAATGTGACCTCTTCCCTGTATTTAGCTGTGGAGAGTCTGTTCTGCCAGCTTCAGGTCATTTTTCTGGGTTTTTTACACTGATGTGGTTGTTATCTAGGTGTATCCATGGGATAAGATGAACCTAGGATCCTCCTACTCTGCAATCTTCCCCAGAAGTCACAAATGTTCTTTAATTTTTCTTTGCTCCAGCCCCATCACATACATGCCAAATAAGAATAGGTACAAAAAGAATACACACACACACACAGTATTCCTTGCACATGGGTGGATTGTGACTGTAGACGTGACAATGACCCACACACATCATGCCCATCTACATTTTAGGGACATTTAAGAGGTAACAAAGATGACAAAATTCTGATTTCAATCACTGATAATTCACAGGCTCAAACCTTAGACATTTGGTAGAGCTAGTAATATTTTATTTTAAGGAAAATATAATTTTGATATGTATTAACATATTTGGAAGATTTAAGAAACATTAAATGACCTTAACACTGTTAACATTATAAGCTACAAATTTGGAGTAGCTTTATAATATCCATTGAGGCCTTATGCACCGAAAAAAAATATGTATATACCAAATAAATTCATGGTCAGAGGATTAATACTTAGAAGAAAAACACAATTACATTTTGAGTCAGTCACATGAAAAATTCACAACAAATAGTTACGATTAAACTTTTTAAATGATCAAATGAAAAATCCTACAAGATAAATTTAAAGAAAAGACAAAAAAAAATAAAAAAAACTAGACAAAAAAGATAAAGTGGATTTCAGTGTGAGCAGAATTGTTTCATATGTGGTGAAGGAAGTTCTATAGGATACTGAAAGTCTTCGCTGATGTAACTTGCATGTGTCTTTAAAAACAAGACAGCTATAACACAGTATTTGTTCTCAGTATGGAGTAAGTCAAGACAGACACAGCTTCAAAGATCCCTTCTTGCCATGAAGATTCCAAACCAGACAGGAAACAATGGCAATTAGTCAAATCTTTGGTCCCACAGACTATCCCCAGATCTGGTTGAACAAACCTTTCACTGAAATGGAGTTCCCGTATTGCCCCATGAGCAAAATAGAGTTCTCTAACAGGTTTAAAGCAGTTGCTCAACCTTTTCAAGGTAATGATTTATACTTTTACTAAAAGGGATTGGAAATGACTGTTAAGGAAATAAGAATTTGACTACACTGTGTCCAGCTTTGCAGTGAATAGGAATATGTTGTAGAAAAGAAATAAACGTTATTCATTGGAGGTGTTCTTTAAGACTCTTACATTATTGCAGATGAGAGCACATGTCAACTCGAGGTGGTTCATCTTCCAAAAGAACATGGAAAGATTTCTTCATGCTCTTATGCCATCTACCTTTGTCCCCCTCTATACCATGGTAAGGTCTGGATTTAAGACACCTCCTCATTTTATTCTTCTGTTCAGCCATTAAAGAATCACAAGAATACTTTTTAAATGTCCTTACAGGTCACCTTTTCCAGAATAAGATACCATGAGGCAGTGTTGCACTGGCACTGGCAGAAGAAGGTCAGAACAAATCGAAGTTCATAGTGTTATGGTTATGGTTCTTCAGGCAGATTCAGAATCGATGTGATAGACACCAAATGTTTGCTTCCAAATAAAAACTGTCCTGGTACACAGAGGGTAAAGTGCCTAATGAACAAAATTACAAAAAGGGAGAAAGGAAGAGAGAGCAAGCAAGAGGGGGAGAGAGAGAGAGTGCTTCTGAAGGGAAGAAATTCAAAAAAGAAACTGATGCTATTATTTATTTTTTTTAAGATTTTATTTATTTAGAGAGAGAAAGTGCGAGCACAAGTGGGGGAAGGAATAGAGGGAGAGGGACAAGCAGACTCCACGCTGAGCTCAGAGCCTGACGTGGGGCTTGATCCCACAACCCTGAGACCATGACCTGAGTCAAAATAAAAAATCAGACGCTTAACCAACTGAACCACCCAGGCGCCCCTGATGCTAGTATTTCTAAATGTTTTACTTTATTTTAGCAATGTGATTTTTTTACTTTTATTTAGCAACTGAATTTTGCTCCATGCAATATCTTTATGGGTATAATTTGTAAAACTGGACAGAATTGAATCACTTATAAAACATAATCTAATTCCAATTTAATGCCATAACATGTTCATTTTAAGCAGCTGACCCAGAGATGCCAGTAAATAGACATTCAGATTCCTGATCTTTGACTTTGAAAACCTAACAAGTTTATTCATTCAGCAAATCATTTTATTCAATGTCTAGACACTGAGCTGGGCATGGTGATGAATAAGCAGCAGCCCCTCTCCTCCTGTAGCTCAGAGGCTGGTGGGGCAGGCTGACAGCTTCCGTGGAGGGGCACAACTGCCTTGGAGGAGAAAGGAAGGGGCCGGGGTGGGTGGGGCTCAGTGGGCCTGGAAGGCAGCCCTGATGTGTGAGAATGGCCGGAGGTGCAGCTGGAATGGCAAGAAGGACCTCAAGCATTTTGAATATTATGTCGAGGGAAGCAAGGAGACCAATGGAGACTAATAGACTCAGGTGTGGACTTTAGAAAGAATGCTTTGGGGGCACCTGGGTGGCTCAGATGGTTAAGCGTCTGCCTTAGGCTCAGGTCATGATCCCAGGATGCTGGGATCGAGCCCCACATCCAGCTCCTGGCTCGGCGGGGAGCCTGCTTCTCCCTCTCCCTCTCCCTCTGCCTCTCCACCTGTGCATGCACTCTCTCTTTCTCTCTGTATCTCTGTGTCTCAAATGAATAAATAAAAAAAAATCTTAAAAAAAAAAAAAAAGAAAGAATGCTTTGCTGTGTGGAGACTGGATTGGAAGGAATCTAGATTTATGCCTACAAAGATGAAAAAAATAGGACCCTGGCCCTCAAGGAACTAAAAGTCTAATAGGGGAAAGACAGTGACAGGCAGTGAGAATGCAGGACACTTAATGCCACCAAGCCAATCACTCTTCTCATGGAGACTCTGTGCAGGGTCTGAGCAGTGACTGAATCATTTGTGGCTTCGTCACAGTACTCTTCTAAGATAGCACTATAACTCTTTTTATAAACTGTGTGTGTGTTTATGGCTATACAAAGGCAGACTGCTAAGAATTCATTATACAGAACAATGGATTCAATTATTTCTGGGAAGGGAGAGAGGACAGAGACAGAGGAAGGAAGCTCCAAATTCCTGACCTTACCAACCACTGTAGGTCTTGACCTAGTGATCATGCAATTAAATTGCTGTTTTAGGTTAAAGAACAAAGAAGACATTGTATACTCCTTGGTTGTTTAAGAATGAAGTCTTTTAAGATCTTTATCTCTGGACAAATAAAATGAGACTTCTTGCTGTTTTTACAGGTGATAAACAAAGGACTCTTTTTCTTTGGGGCACTGATAGCCATTGGTAGTACCTACCTATTTATGAGCTCCATGTCACTGAGACCCCTGCACTACTTCAGAAGACCATGGGACTGGCTCACTTCCTTCCAGATAACAGGACATGTTTCCCTGCAAACTCTATGGAGTCACTAGAAAAAAATCCCGATATCATTAGCAGGTGATATAAAGATTCTGAAGTGGCAAATGGATTTCTTTTTAACTAAAACTAAGGATCAAAACCATGTTTCTATCATCATCTTTAATTCACTAGTGAAAAATATATGTCAGCTTACAATTAAATTCAGTATAGAATTTCTCTGTGTGTTCACTGTGATTATTGGGGGGGGGAACCAACCCCAAACTACAGTTTAAATTGCAAAACACAGCTTTCCCACAACACTACACATAGATGTGGTCATTCTAAATATAAAAATGCAATGATGAAGATCTCTTTCACTTCTCAAAAAGTAAAGCACCAGAGGCCTCAAGGAAGACATTGATCTCATCTTCTCTTTCAAGGACGTAGTTAAGGTCACAATAGGACTGACTCCTAACACCCAGGACTAGAAACTATGATTTGCCTAACATGTTAAGTACAGTTTTGATCACGTGGATGGAACTTATCCAGCATAGAGCTCAGCTTCACTTACTAAAACTGGAAGTATAAATGAGGGATTTGGGGCACTCTAGAGAGTTACAAAATGAACTAATTTTATTTCACAGTCTTCAAAGGCCAGTATTACCTTTTGAAGATTAAAAAAAGGGGGGGCTATTAATGCCATACTAAGTGAAGAATAAGAGTTTTATTTACAAATTAAACATCGATATATACAACAGAGTGGAAAGGAAATAAGGGAAGACAGTTTTTATAGAAATTATTCCATTTGAGATTCTCAAGAAGCAGTTTACTAACCAGCGATAAACTTGATTTTGAAAAGTTCTTTTAGTGAAAACATTTTCTTTGGTTCTTCCTTCTTCAGTTGAGCAACTGAAACACTCCGAAGTCTTTCAAACATGATTAATCATGAAGATGCTACACCAGTAGGACAGTCATCTAAGAAATAAAAACTAAGCAATAAAATTAAATTAAAGTTTCTTTTTTATATAGTTAAAGAAATCCTTGAGTTCTAATGAGCTGTGTGTAGTCTAAACAATGACTCATGGGAAAATGGCATCTTCACTAACACTGACCATTGATTAGCCAGTAGACTGACTGAAGAGCAAAAAGGATTAAATAATACATTTTACGAGTACAGTTTTACACTTACTTTCATCCCCTTCAAATGTAGGTTTGTTTAATTTTTTGCTTGGAACTCCTTTTCTAAACCCAAAACTCTTGGCAAAATTGTGGCAAATTGTCAAGAAGAGAAGATAGTCTTGCCGAGTTATGTTTGAAATGAAACATGGAAATACTTATCGGCCATCAACACATCCTTTCCATGTACATCCCCTGCTAATGTATGATTCCCTAGCCTCCATGATTACTTTGAAATTCACCACCTTTTCTTTCCTGGGTTGCTTTTTAATATTCCTTCTGGAGCTTGCTTAGCAGCATTGCTTATATACTATACAATATAGTATAGAAGCAAGAGTTTGAAAAATGCCTAGGAAATGGGGGAAGATTTATTTACTAACCTCAGAGCATGTGCTTGAGGGATAACACCTTGCTTATTCATCTTGAAGCTCCTCTATATCATATTGCATACAGCAAGTCTTTTTTTTTTTTCAGAGGAAGCCAAGGTGCTGATTTTCTTTTTCACCCTGGAATTGTCTCTTTGATAAATTTGATTGGTCAAAAAGAGGATGTGACTGTGATTAGGATCCAACACTACAGAAAATTTGAGATTTCCTAGTGATTTCACACATGTATGATACAAAGTTATTTTTACAGCTATTTTTGAGCTGTGAATACAGCTAAGTATTTTTGAGAAAACTGTATTATGTGCCTTGGAAAATAGTGTCATTTAAAAAAATATATTCAAAATGAAAATTTTCAACATGTTAGAAGTTGATGGTGCCAGATGCCCATCTTGTGCCATAAGTGGTTTTTCGTTATGGAAAGCACCCATTGAATTAAAACAATTGTCTTGCTCAGTTGCTTCCAGAGACTAGAAAGCATACGGGCAATTCAGATTTCCTGCTGAGCCACAAAAGTTCTGTTGATATTGTGGGAGCCCAGGGCAGGCTGCCCCAAAATATGCCACAATTTTGAATTAAACTTCCTTAAGAAACAGCAAGTGCAAAAAAGACAGTCTGACCTTCCTTTGTCCCCCTGAAAGCAGGAAATCTCTTGTGTGACAAGTACCTTCCTAAAGCAGGGGGTAGAGAGACATCTGTATCATCAGAGAGAGAGAATTGAGGGCTGAAAAAACCTACATAAATAAACCTTACTTTTACTAAATTACTACCCAGCCCAAATCCCGTTTAGAATTCTTTACTGATCGAAGTTCCCAAACATGAATTTTCCTGTCCTGTCAATTCCTTATAGATTTATGTCTCTTTGTCTAAAATGTGTAAAAGCTACATGTCTTGCTCATTTCTTTGGGTCTCAATTTTATTATTGGGACTCCGCGCACACAGAATTAAACTTTTGGGTTTTTTTTCTCCTGTTAATCTGTCTCATGTCAATTTTATTCCTACACCAGGCAGAAGAAACTTTTAGGGCAGAAGAAAGTTTTTCCTCCCCCAAAATATTACATAGAATGGGGATTCCAAAACAGTCCTTAAAATGGAAGTCTAGAAGTGGTTTCCAGTAGGAGGCCTCATCTTTCATTACCATTATTCCTTCCTATAAAGGACGAACTTGGATTACATCAACCTTTGGCACACTGGTTTTGTCACTGTCATCGACTGATAGTGATTCATCACTGGTGATGATAAAAATAATGGAAGAAGAATTAAAAGTCACTTTTTTCTTTGGTCTGTCCCCATCTTTTTGTGACATCACAATGGGTCTGATCTGCATTTCACTCCCATTGGCTGGTAGGTCCTTAGCAGGCCTCTGACATCTCAGCAGTCGGAAACATAGCAGTTGCAAAAGAGATCTTCGGAACTGGGCAGAGAGAAAATAAAGTTGAATATAAAGTAAAAATTTGGCCCTTAATCTGGATTAACATTCAATAAAATTAGTTGAGTTTAATTTTGGTTGTTCTTTTTTATTTGTTAGCTGGGGTGGGTGTGGGGTTAGGTGGCAATGCTCATATGTACCTAAATAATCCTGGAGTTTTATGGTTTTTATTATTATAATTCTCATTAACGAAATCATATAGGACTATTACAATACCTTATAATCTCTATGGATTCAAGTTGCATGCACCTTTTATGAGGGCAACTAAATCTGTTTCTTTAAGGAATTTGAACATTAATTCATTCCACAAATATTCAGTGAGCGTCTACAAGGTAATAGCCACTGTGCTATAATTTGGGAATATTGTGGGCAGCAAAGACTGACAAGGCCCTTCCTGCAGAGTTTACAGTCTGCTGTACTCACTAATGTTCCTTTGATTAGGTAAAGAGTTTAATTCTATAAAGATTATATACCATTTGGAGAAAAAATACTACAGCAGAGAGTGCTAGTGTTCACCAATACCCATGATCCTCCCCCTGTCCTGGGTATAACACTGAACCATATTTCTCAGCTCCCTTTCAGGGTCTCCTCCCTGCTCTTCCCCTCCTACAAGACCTTAGAGGTCAAGTCTGAAGATGATAACATCACAACATGAAGGAACCTAGATTCCTACAGAACTGCATGGGACAGATCCCCTGCCCTCCAGCAAATACAGTGGACTATGGACCAGGATATAAATGAGAAAAACCTTGGGATACCTGGGTGACTCAGTCAGTAGAGCTTCTGACTTTTGATTTTGGCTCAGGCTATGATCTCAGAGTCTTGAGATCAAGCCCTATGGGGGGCTCTGCACCCAGCAGGGAGTCTGCTTGAGATTCTCTCCCTCTGACCCTCCCCCAACTTGTGCTCTCTCATGTGCTCTCTTTCTCTCTGGAAAATAAATAAATAAATCTTTTAAAAAATAAATGAGAAAAACCTTTTTCTTGTTAATCCACTGAAATGGTGGAGTCATTTGTTACAATAGTCTATCATGACAATAAAACATAAATAAAAAGTTAATTTAACTTTTATCCCCTTTGTTCAGAGCAAAATAAAAGTTTAATACATGGGCTTTCCCAGATCAGGAAATATCAATGAAATACAATAGCTAGCTACATTGATTTCTGTCTTCTTTAAACCTCACTTATACACAAGTTAGTATTTATTTTATACTCACATTTAAAAATATTTGCTTGAGACTATCTGTTCATCAAACTAGTGTTTGCTATATCAGGTTAAGTGCTAAAGATACATTATTATAAGGGTTAAAGTATGCCAAAATATGTTTTCCCACATAAATGGTAAGCTCCTTGAGGATAAGGACCATTATTTTATTTATTTGTTTATTTTTGTTTGTTAGTTTATTGTGTCTTTTAGACTTCCTGTTTAAAGTGTGCTCCTGAACCAGAAACATGCGGACCACGTGCAAGCTTATTAAAATGCAGAATCTTGGGTGCCTGGGTGGCTCAGTTGGTTAAGCGACTGCCTTCGGCTCAGGTCATGGTCCTGGAGTCCCGGGATCGAGTCCCGCATCGGGCTCCCTGCTCGGCAGGGAGTCTGCTTCTCCCTCTGACCCTCCTTCCCTCTCATGCTCTCTGTATCTCATTCTCTCTGTCTCAAATAAATAAATAAAATCTTTAAAAAAAAAAATGCAGAATCTTGGCCACCCAGGCATACCAAATCTGAATATGCACTTTTGTTTACAATCTCTCCTGGTGTGATGTATGCACATTAAATTTTTAAAAGAACTGGCCCAGAGAAAGGACCCAAAAAATAATTATTAGGTAATATATTTTAAATGTAATTATTTGCCTGTTGAAGTACTGGTTCTTAAAATATGAAGCCCTTACATCCTCAAAAAATTAGTTATGAACTATCTTGTCAGAAAATTCACATGTGCATATTCTTAAAAAGTTTTATGACTAATTTCAGGGGTTCTCATGGCTCTCCTGAAGCTAATTCACGTAATTCTCAGATTTTAAAGACTCCAAGTTAAAATTCTCTGGGTTCAAGTAAATAGATAAATGAAGGCATCGTCAAAGAGAAAGACCATCAGTGAATAGAGATTGAAACCATATGAAAGTAAGAAGAGGGAGATTTAGCAGTGAACATTATAAGGTTAATTGAAGAAATGCTCTCTTATTCCAAACTTTTGAGCATTAGTAGCCAGAGTAGCTATTATTGCCTGTTATTCCGACCTGTTACTTTAAAATTCCAATGGAGGGGCTCCTGGGTGGCACAGTCCGTTGAGCATCAGACTCTTGGTTTTGGCTCAGGTCGTGATCTCAGGGTTGTGAGACTGAGCCTTGAGTTGGGCTCAAGGCTCAGTGTGCAGAGTCTCCTTGAGATTCTCCCTCCCTCTCCCTCTTCTGCCTCCTCTCTGCCCCCGTCCCTCCACCTCGTGTTCTCTCTTGCTCTCTCTCTCTAAAATAAATAAATATTTAAAAAATAAAAATAAAAAAATTTCAATGTAGTAATTAGCCATTATTTATAACTTCTAAATTCTCTTATATTTAAGCTTTGTAACTTAGAGGCTTAGCTTCATGCTTCATGGCAATCATAATGGGGGCTCTCATAGTCATGACTGACAATCATCAAGTCAAAACCTTTCTACCACAAAAACAGATAATAAGCTTCCCATTAGATCTAGAGGAGTTTCTGGAACCAAATTAATTTGAGCTACACACTGGTTGTGGCATGTGAATAATGGTACCTGTAACCCTAAGTGGTTAGCTATGAGCATGGACTTTGGTGTTCAAGCAAACCAGATTGGAATCCAGGCACCAACAATTCCTGGACTGGGCAAGTCATTTAAGTTTTTTGAACTTGTGTTATAGTTCATAAATAAAGTAAGAAATATTAGTGCCTATCTCATGGTGTTTTGAAAGATAATGGGTATAACCTCCATAGTACAGTAAGAATTTTAAGTAAATTAAACTTTGTGGCCATTATTATTACTAGACATAAAATGTTCCCTGATGAATTAAATATTAACTTTAATAGAATTTTACTTAACAAGATCTTTTGGTAGATCGTAGAATTGTTATTATTTTCTTTGGGAATATCTTACATTTATTCCTGAACACTTTTTCCTATAAAATTCTTGATTTAGATTTTATCATTGAAGATGTCCTGAATAATCTCTATAAAAAGTATTATATTTTCCAACAACCACATCTACATGGTGAAAACAATGTGTTTATTACCACACTTACCTTTCTGATCATGATGATATAAATAATCGGATTATATACAGTGCTTGATTTAGCAAAGAGATATGAAACAATAGATACTGTTGGAGTGACCAGGTGTCCATAACCATTAACCACCAAGAAACAGATCACGATATAAGGCATCCAAAAGATAAGGAAGATAAATATCATTAAAAAGCACATTTTTGCCACTTTCTTTTCATATCTTAAAATCTTAATCACTTGAATTGTCTGAAGATCTTCAACACAACGAAGCTGCAGAAAGGAGAAAGAGTTGAAAATGAAAGAATCCTTTTCTCATGTTGTTTTGATAATAGATATTCAGGCAAAATTTCAGGGCCCACCCTAGTGGAAAGACAACTCAACAGGACCTTGGGGGCCAACTCCTGATCCAAGAACCTGAAGCTGGGCACAGCCCTTAATCTCTCTGGGTCTCAGTCTGTGCATCTTTAATATAGTACTTTGAGCCATATAGCCTCTTTGATCCTTTAATGGTTTTTAACGTTTTCCAATTTATTTAAAGAATAAAATGGGGGCACCTGGGTGGCTCAGTTGGTTGAGTGTGGGACTCTTGGTTTCGGCTCAGGTCATGATTTCACAGTTGTGGGATCAAGCCCCCGCCCTGCTGTGCTCCACACCCAGTGTGTAGTCTGCTTGGGATTCTCTCTCCCTCTGCCTCTCCCCTCCCCCACCAAAAGCATGCACGCTCTCTCTCTAAATAAATAAAATCTTAAAAAAAAAAAAAAGAAGAAAATGAATTATTTTGCCTAGATCTTCCAGTCACTGAAAGACAACCTGAAAGAGTTCTGATAAATTGGAAACAGTTTCTCCATGATCTTGGAAACTCTTATCCAGATCATAATCCTCAACTTCTCAAACCAGGCAACAAACATGTGATGTCAGTTCAAGCCGGTCTTGATTAAACTTAATTCCCAAATGAATTCTTGCTGGAAACTATGGTGACTTCCCACTCACAGCTAACAACTACAAAGTGGAATTTGATGGGGACCTTGCTTGTGGTTGGTTTCATCAGGGCTCAGGTGCAGAGAACACTTGTAGCCACATTCCTGTAAACTCAGCATATCTGCTTTTATTTTATCCCTATTAAAGCACTGAGGAATAATGGCCTACAATCTGAAAGTTGTTTGGGTTTCCCAGATAAGAGTTCTTTAGAAGTCCCTTCTATTGTTATTATAAATTTGTTAGTAAGGGGAGGAGGATAATATTCCTCTACACCAAAAGTATGTTCTTAAATAAAATGGTTATTTCTATCCTAAAAAGCTAAGTTTGCTACAAAAATACAAATGCCTTATATATTTAAAATAAGGTATCTTGCATACTGTTTATATTTAGTATACAATTTTAAAACCGGGAAATCTATTGCATTCCAACAAAATCTAAGGGTTCCTTTTATTTCTAGCATTATCATAAAAATTAAGGAAAAAATTTCCAAATAAATCAGAACATGTGCTTATAGTATTTAAAAGCATATTTGAATTGATACAGCTAAATTATGGATATCCACTAAAATTACATTTAAGAAACTATATTCTTAGTAGAATCACATATTCATATTGACAGAGAATAGGAAGAAAATATGGATAATTAAAATGATTGAGTTTTTATAGAGTAGAGAGAATGTATAGGAGTGGGCATGATTGTAAAGTTGGATACTATTATTATCTATGTGTACAATTCTATTTTAAAATAAACTATTTTATTTAATGTGACAGAACAGCATTTTTTGGGGGGGGTAGGAGATTTTCCCTAGAGTTTTTTAAGAAGGTTGTGGAGTTCTAGTTAAAGCTCTCAATTTGGAATTAGGTCTGGATCCATATTCCAGATTCACCACTTTTGCTCCTGGCAATCAATTACTTCCTCTAAGAGTCAAGATTAAAGGAGGTTCAAATGAATAACCTATTGGACTTAACGGAAGTTGGGCCCAAGTTCCACACATACAACTTTGTGAAATTGTGTTCAAGATTAAATATTTATTTACATTGGAATTATATTTGAAACTAACATATTTATATGCATTTGTACTTTCATGATACTATGGAATATTTGGAATCATGATTTTTGGTTTCTCAGAGTTTCAATTAATGAATATACACACACACACATATATATGTATATATATATTCAATATACTCAATATATGCAATATAACCCCAGCTCAATCATCTGTCCCCAATTCCCCACCATCCAGAGCTTCCACAGAAGCTCATCTCTACCCTTTCTGGGCAACTCAGTTCCCATCCTCTCACCATTTTTCAAAGCAGAGCATTCATTTATCATCTTGGAATTACATGCATGCTGGAGAAGTTAATTTAAGGAAATATTGGGCTGGGAAAGCCCAGTTCCTCTTTGGTATAAGGATATAGTTCTGACTACTGTTTTGGATTATTTGGGTTTGTATATGTGTGTAGTTTCCATGATTATTTTTCATTTATCTCTTTTGGCCTCTCTGTTTTATCATCCTCTATTCCTTCACTCTGTTCTTTCCATGTTTTCCAAAGAAAGAGCTCTACTTAATGTCTTACCCTATTTATTCAATCATTTGAGGGTATTTTTCAAAATTGCTATGGATGAAGCAAAAGCATATGCACAGTTGAATTTGTCCTGAAGGATAAACCACTTAAGACAAATCCCCCAGAATTCCCAATAAAAGTGTCTTCTGCCTATATTAAATTGGGCTCACTGATCCAGACACCTGTAGATTTTCAAAAACTTCACTGTGAATCCTCTTCTTACATGAGAAGCTATGTCTCCATCACTGCTATGAGTCACCCCTCTGGATAAGTAAACAGAGGCGATGGTGTCACCAGGTTCTGAGTGGAGAATATTGTGGTCTAGAGTCAAGTCTCTTGACACTTGTACCGCTTATCCTTTCTATGCACTGTCTATAACTCATTCCAAAAATAGTCTCCGATCAACTATTGTATGAAAGTATGTTCCAGCTATAGGTGAAAAACTAAATAAGACTGGGTCTCTGCTTTTAAGGAGTTCGCTGTATTTTGAGGGTGACAGGCACATAGACTCCTTCCATAGGTGATACATGTCATGAAGAAGATGACCAGAGAGGGCTATGGGAACAGGATGGGTAACGGATTTAGACATGGGAAGGGGCAAGAAGATACTGAGCTCAGCCATCTGTGGTGAGTCAAGTAAGGAGGAAGGACAGAGTGTTCCAGGGACAGGGAGTATCCTAAAGCAAGTAGTAAAAGAACACATGTCAAGTTCTGGGAACAAGAAATACTGCACTTGACTGGAAACTGAGGTGGCAAGAGGGTAGGCATGTCAAGAAATAAAGCTGGACACATAGCAAGAGATGGTAATGCAGAACTCTGGTAGTCACACTCAGGGACTTTATTTTTAATCATGAAGGCAGAGGAACCTCTAAAGGATTTTAAGCTGGGCAGTGATATGAGAAAAGTTGCATTTAAGAACAATTACTCTGGCAGAAGTATGGAGAAAAATGGATTAGAAGAAAAGAAGAAGAAAAGAAGAAAAAACTAAGGTCCCTTTGAACTGAGTTTGTGGCAATAGGAGAAGGGGAAAAAGGATATGAAGAAAAATAGGAGGTTGAATAGATGAAAATTGATAATTGGTTAAGTGTAGTGGGAGACATGGATGAGGAATAGTCAAATACTGCTCTCTCATTTCTGGCCAAAGAATAATGACCATTTACTGAGAAAGGAAATGGAGGAGCAGCAGATCTGGGGGAAGGATGACCAAACTGTCTTCACACACATAGAATCTGATAAGTCTGAATGTTCTGAAGGGGCACCTGGGTGGCTCAGTCAGTTAAGCATCTGCCTTCAGCTCAGGTCATGATCCTGGAGTCCCAGGATCGAGCCCCACATCAGGCTCCCTGCTCAGTGGGGAGTCTGCTTCTCCCTCTGTGCCTCACCCCACCTTCACCCCACTCTTTCATGCTCTCTCTCACTCTCAAATAAATAAAATCTTTTTTTAAAGATTTTATTTATTTATTTGAGAGAGAGAATGAGATAGAGAGAGCATGAGAGGGGGGAGGGTCAGAGGGAGAAGCAGACTCCCTGCTGAGCAGGGAGCCCGATGCGGGACTCGATCCCGGGACTCCAGGATCATGACCTGAGCCGAAGGCAGTTGCTTAACCAACTGAGCCACCCAGGCGCCCTCAAATAAATAAAATCTTAAAATAAAAAAAGAATCTGATAAGTCTGGGGGCCATCCCAGTGGAGGTGTGCAATAGGCAACTGACTGTGGGACCTGACAGAGGTCAGAAGAACACCCTGGGTCAGAAATAGAGATTCCAAAGTCACCAAGCTATTGTTAGAAGGGGAAATCCTAAGAGCATATGAGATGCCCAAGGCCAGTGTGTAGTATGAGAAAAGAGCTACACACAGAATGCTTGGAGGCCCATGGGAAGCAGCCCTTGGCAGAGACTTAAGAAGATGGGCCAGAGAGTCAGCAACAATGATAGGAGAGAGTGGGTCCTAGAAACAGTGGAGTAGAAAACCACAAATGAGTGGAAGTTGTTAATAATGCCACAAGTGTCAAATGCCATGGATGCCAGAAAAGAAAAAAGAGATAGAAATGTGTTCATTGGATCTAACATTTGGGAGATCATCGATTACCTTAACGTGGGCTATTTCTGTGACAGTGTGCTCAAGGAAGGAGGCACCAATTTGCAATGGGTGAGGAATTAAATGCTAGGTGAATTTATTAAACTACAAACTCTATGAGGCAGGGGCAATATCTTATACATGTTGTATCCTCAGAGCTCAGTCAATGTCTTAGTCAGCATGGACTTCCATAACAATATACCACAGACTGAGTGGCTTAGACAACAGAAATGTATTTCTCACAAATCTGGAGGCTGGGAAGTCTAAGGTCAAGGTGCCCGCAAGGTAGGTTTCAGTATGAGACCTCTTTTCTCAGCTTGGAGATGGCTGCCTTCTCTCTGTGTACTCATACGGTGGAAAGAGAGATGGAGGGAGGGATGGAGAGATGGATGGAGGGAGGGAGGAAGAGACACACAGAGAGAAAGAGAGCCACTAATCCCATCATGAGGGCCCCACTCGCATGACATCGCCCTAATTACCTCCTAAAAACCCCATCTCCAATACCATTGATTGGGGATTAAGGCTTCCATATATAAATTTTGGAGAGACAAAAACATTCAGACCATAATAGTAAGTAATTGGTGCATTCTAGATGCTCAACAAATATTGGCCAAATGAATGCTTATTGAGTGGTGATACAGTACCAAAAGCCACTAGTGGTTCTTTGAGTAAGCACGGGTGGGGAGAGCAATAAAGTGACAGCCAGAGGGAGTTGAGAGTAGATTTTGCTTTTGTATAATATTAGCATAGTTATTGCTAGAGAGAAGGAGCCAGTAGTAAGGGAGAGACTGGAGATGTAAGTGAAAGAGAAAACTAATACTTGAGAGAGGTCCCTGGGGCAGAGAATGGGGTTGGGGGAAAACCAGAAGCTAGGGTCACCTTGGCCCTGAGAGATCTACTCCATGACCCTGTAACTGAAGAGAAGGGCCTACCAATGAGGCTGAACAGATAGGCTTATATAAAGGGGGACAGGGAGGTGAGAAATTTCTTGATAATGGCTTTCTTCTGCCCAATAAATAAGTATGATTATTTGATAAGAATGAATGGAGGATAGGGCAAAAGATTAAAATGATCACTGAGGATTTATAGTGGCGATTGTGTGAGAGATTGGACCATCTAGGAATCCAAACATCACTAGACACTGCTGAGAGGACATCTGGGTATGGATATTGGGAATGTGGGGGCAGATTTTCCCCCAGCTCCTCTTTATAGTTTGACTACAGGCATGGGGAAAACCTATCATTCGATTGATGTGGGGATTTTTTTTTCTTTTTTACAAAATAGGTATGTATGAGAAAAGTTCGAAAGTGGAAGTTGGCAGGGTTTATGATTTAAAGTGATACTAGCCATGTTTGATTAAAAAAAAGGTGAAAGCTAGAGGGGCTTAGCAGGGTGCATAAGAGACTGATGAGCAGTAGTTCTGAAGAAGAAAGACACAAACAGGAAGACACGGTGAGTGAGCAAGGAAAACATACGTGGCTAAGGTAGGAGGCTGCCTCACATGGTCACTTCAGACTCCTTGCTAGCACTCAACAGGAAACTTGCTTGTGGTCAGTTCTTGTGCTTTATGATTCAGAAGTGATTTCCAGACAAAATATCTATACTATGCTCTAAGTGGGTTTATGTGATCTTTGAATGAATAAAATCATGGGAAGTGTGGAATTTCTTTGGTTAGAGTTCTTTAATTCTAAGAGTGCTAGAGAATGCAGGTGTTCTTGGTTGTTACTGATTTTATCTGTCTAGAACACCCTTGCTTCCTCCTTGTGGTTTAGAGAGTAGCGTAGAGAGAGTAGATGTTACTCCTCATTGGTCTTTTAGAGAGTGACTCAGTGCACAATTCTATTGAGTGGGAAGTCCCCTAGAAGTGATCCAGCTGCGGACAACCACTTATCATGTAGGGAGAGTTTGAGTCTCTTCTGCACAGAATTGTGCACCCTGGAAATAGTTTAGGGGAGAGGCATTTGCAGTTTTCAACTTACCATTCGAATGGAATACAGAATATGGCCATAGCAATGGGCTATGACGCCCAGAGGCACCACCAGACAGCCAAGAAATAAGAAAAGCACAAAGGAGGAGTTGTTGGCGTCCTTGGATTTCCAGTCCACAGAGCATCCTAGTCCATGTATGTCCAGGATGTACCTGTTCCAGCCCAGCAGAGGTGCTCCTGACCATGCCAGTGAGTACAGCCAGATGTAGGTAATGGCCCTCCAGGCCCAGGAAAAATTGATCACTCTGGCATGGACCACACGAATATAACGTTCATAGGCCAGCACAGTTAGGGTAGTAATGGAAACAATCCCTGCAAGAAGAGAAAGTGGGACAGTATAACATGGCGCCGGGGCAGACGGACGTAGCAGAGGTTACACTGTCCACTGGACACACCTCACAGTGTGTCTGGAACTCACAAGGTGCTCTAAAAGTGACATATCTAAGAGGAATAATGCCTCACAGTCCCCAGGAAATTTGACTGGAAACATATTTACCCAGAAAAGAAAACAAATGGCAGGTAGATTGCAGCAGGACAAAAAGAAAAGCCCTAAAGCCAGCACCACCCCAATGATACAGCTCCTGTGTTCAACTCTCTGCCAGAGAGAAACTCTGAAGAGTCAGAGTCACTAAGTGAGTCTCATTTGCTTTGACCTTCTCTCAGTTGTGTCTGACTCAGTATTGAAGATGAGATTGAAGTGGGTTTCACAAGGCTGAACTGACCAAAGTTATGGTAAAAGTTTGCAGGGGGCTGGGTTAACCTTCCTGCTCGCAGATGTTAGCCTATGAACTGTTCTCGTGCAAGACCGCTGACAAGGGAGTGAAACCGTCTGTGCTCCCCTGGTCTTCATTTATGCCTCCATTTTGCAACAAATATATTTTAACAACATTATTCATTTATTTCCCTGCCTCTTCCCAGAGAGTGATTTATTCAATCAACAAGCTTCTATTGAGCACTTACTGTGTGCCAGTCACTTTTTCAACCCTGGAGGTTTAGGGATGACAGAAATGCAGAATTCTAGGTGCTTGGAGGGAACCCAATCATGTAAACAACAGTAAGACTGCAGGAGGTATAAATGTATTGCGGGAGTCACAGAACAAGGGGCCTTTGTGAACCAGGCAGAAGCATATTCCAGGAAGAATTAAGAATTATGTACCAGAGCATGGAGATGATTTAAGGGTCTAAAAATGACGAGAGGATTCAGAGGTGCCAGGACTCAGAGGATACAAAGGAGAGAGGAGGTTAGAAGGAGCAGATGAGGTCATTGGAGGAAGGCTTTTGATTTCTTGCTAAGGGTTTTTGTTTCTTTCTCTGTTCTTTAAAAAAACAAACAAACAAACAAACCACTTTTCCTGTATAAAACTGAATTATAAACCTGTTACTTTGTCATGTTTTTTAAGTGTGAAGTAACAACAGTTATCTTCTTCCTCCTCCTCCTCCTTTTTCCTCTGAAAGGGCCCTCATTCCTGCAGTGGTATAGAAATCCCGTCCCAGGCCAGTGCATGGAGACCAGCTTGAAGGCTACTGCAGTAGTCCAGGCAGGTATGATGGGGCCTGAATTAGAGTACCTTTAAAGGTATGAACAGCAAAGTCTGGATTCCAGGGACATGTGATTAATATCAACAGAACCCACCAGCTTATTGAATGTGAAGAGGGAGGGAGAGAGAGGAGTCAAGAATCACTTGGGAGATTTCTAACCTGCGTGACAAGTCAAGAGTGGTTACATTAACAGAGATTAAAACTACCAGGTGTTACAAGCAGATATGGGGGAGAAAATGAAATTGTGAGCTCCCTAGAACACACTGGCATAAATATTTGTTGAATGAGCAGATCAAGAGAAGCTGTAGAATTCTCCCTAATGGAGAATGAAAATAAGACCTGTGTCAGGTAAGTAGGTGGGAGCATGGGGGTGGGGCTTCAGAAATCCCAGCGTGATCCCAGCTCCCCACTAAATAGCTCTGTGACTTTGGCTATTCATACAATCCCTGTAGACTTTAGTTTTGTTGAAAATCTCTTCACATTATAAAATTTTCACTATAAGAGTGTGAAATGAGGAGGTCCTAGACTCAGAAAGCCACTGACAGAACAGAGTAAATATCCATTTTATACCAGGACAGGTTTGTTATTTGGAGGGAAGGCAGCATAATCCCCTGTGTTTGATGCCTGTGGTATTTGATAAATGTTCGTTGAATACATGAATATTTAATTAATACATAAGGGACTGGAAGAGGAAGACAGGGTTTTGGAGTATGGTAGAAGGAAATATTTCAGGAAGTAGTGCTATACTCACAAATAATGTACTTACGTTCAGATTATGTTAAGTAATTCTGGAGGTAAGGAAAATATCAAGTTGTGTATTCTGCCTTCAGAACTAAGAATCAACTTTCACCTCACTAAATTTTTACCTGAAGAGTGATACTGTCTTTTCTTTAACTGAGTATATTCCCAGAAGGAAACCAAAAACCTAAAAGTAGTTACATAGTAAGACTCTAATGAGGTTAGATACTGTTGGTTTTATTTAGTTTACAAACTTTCTTACCAAATACATGGCATTTAATCATATAGTTGCCTTTAAATGTTAAAACAGTTTTGCGCCTTCAACTTTCAGTTAATTTACCTTGAATACGATTTAGTTCTTCTTAGGCAAGAAAACTTGCTGCAAATATGTTGTAGATTAGCAAATCCCAGTATACCCTACAGATGAATAAATGAGTCCTTATGATTAAAGCAATAAGCTGGGATAATTTTAGCTATCATTCATTCATTCATTCATTCATTCATTCATTCATTCATTCATTCATTCATTCATCCAGTAACTATTTACTGCTTATCTACATGTCCATCAGTGTGCCAGCAAATGGCTGCAAAGAAGGGAGTGACACACGCACCTCCTCTATAGAACTGACAGTCCACTGGGTGAGAGTGATAATACAATCATGTCAAACAAGCAAATTAGTGGCACGCTACCAAGGAGAGAGACGGTGCAGAAAAGATGTGAGGGAGGAGGCTGCCGGCGTAGAGGATGTGGCAGTCTTAACGGGATGTCAGGAGAAGCCTCATTGTGCTCAGGGCTGAATCATGAAAGACCCCAGCTCTGTGACCAGTCAGGGTGCAGAAGTGTGGTGAGTTTTCCCTCTTATTATTTAGGTCAAAGAGGTAAGAGATCTTTTCTGTGTGATATGGTTTTGGACCGTGCCTGTATCCTAGCAAGCACGTTGAGCTTCCAGTGCCTGATTCAGTTGCTGACATTCAGTACCATAACCAGTTAGCACAGTCCCTGAATTTCCAGGCCTTCCCTGACTGAATGGGTGTATTAGTCAGACTGACTCAGTCTTGTAGGGTGACCCACTGGAACAGACCTAAACTACATCTTTCCTTACACCCTCCCCCTTTTTCTCTCTCTCTCTCTTTTTTTAAAGATTTTATTTATTTGTTTGACAGAGAGAGAGATAGTGAGAGATAGTGAGAGCAGGAACACAAGCAGGGGTAGTGGGAGAGGGAGAAGCAGGCTTCCTGCTGAGCAGGGAGCCCGATGCGGGGCTCGATCCCAGGACCCTGGGATCATGACCTGAGCTGAAGGCAGACACTTAACAACTGAGCCACCCAGGCGTGCCCCGCTTTTTTTCTCTTAACAACATGTATTTACTCATGACTTTTGGTCCTGCCTGAGTCAAAATTATTTGCTGTATTCTGGAGAATGAGAATGAGCGGACTGTCTTACAACTAGTTCATACGTAACTAGAGAAAGCCTAATTCTCTCTTCCCTTAACACTGTGGACAGGGAAGGGGAAGGTCACGGCCCCAAAAGAGCACCCATCATCTGTGAGGCCCCATAATAATCATGCTACATACAGTAGTATCCCTCTTTGTGGAGAAGGAGTTCTGTGGCTCTGAGGGATAAGGAACCAATAGGAGGTGGAGACAGTTTTGAGAACCCAGGACTGGCTGAGTCCACAACCCATAATTTTGCCTTTTCCCACCTGTCCCCACAAGCTCTACTAGGGGTAGCACGATGTCCCTGCTCCCTGCAAAGCTGCACACTGATCACATATGCCCTAAGTGTGTCTCCCTGTGCCCAGTAGGGTCTTCTAGGAGAAACCAGAGACGTGTGGTGCCTACCCTTGAAGAGACTACAATACTGTACATTCTTGTAGACCCAAGACCAACTCTATGCAACATTTGAGGGCAAGGTAGGATGATACAAAATCATATGGTATGTTTACTGTGCAACAACAAACCCGATAAAGTAAAATTCCAGCGGATTGTGCACACACACAGCAATGAACAATCATTTAAACTTACATTTCCATTCTACTTTCCCCTAAAAATTTTACTCTAGTGTAATATATTGGTATGGCTGAAAGATTTTAAATTATTACCTTATTATATTCTTCAACAAAAAATGTATTTAGAAATTGAAATTTTTAAATTTCTTGGATGGCAAGGCACTAAATGTTTAAAAAATTGTCTTATGGATTGAGTTATCAGCTTTTATTAGTACACAACTGTTCAAAATGTTTTGTTAAATATTAAAAGTAAAAAACTTAGAAATACATCTCTTAAAGTGATCAGTATAGCTTTCCCTCACCACAAAGAATATACCCTATCCACAAGTTACTGTTACCAATGCTAGAATGATAAAGGATAAATTCTCTTCCTGTTTTTCCTGTTTATAAAGTTAAAGATTTCTTGATCACACGTGTATCCACATGCAATGGAAGGAATTTTGTTATATTCAATTCTTATTGATTATAAGAACATTCCTTCTATATTCAATTATTTGAACTCTCCTGAATTTATATGCCAAAAAGCACAGAGTGTTTATTGTCAAAAATTATATTTAATGATCTACCAACTAACAACTCAACTTTGTTAAAAGCAAATAACTGGAAACCACCTGAGTGGTCATTCACTTCCCCAGGTTCCTCATCAATATTTTAACTTGTCCCTTTGTTTGCCATCCTGGAACGTCCTCCCACCCCTCCCTGGTAACTTCCCACGGTAAGATTTGGGATGGGTAAGGAGTGTATCTTTCTGTGGGAAGTGGGAGATGGGGTATGGAGAAAGGGAGGGTCTGGGTCACAGGGAGCTGGTTTCTAGGAGAGAATACAAGTTGAGAATTTAGAAGTTGATTCTCTTAAAACTGTCCTTGCATAACCATTCCAAAGGGTTGTATCTCAAGGAGTATGCAGACACCAATTTGAAGACAGAGGCCTATAAAAACTAATCTTGTTGGCATATTATGGAGACTCTGCTTAATCTTGCTGCATCACTTACTTACGTTGGGATATAGATGGCAAGCCTCAAACTGC